CACCTGGTGGTAAGCACTCTGAAACAAATTCTTGGTAGTGTCAGCTGCCATCTGGTGGACTATAGATCCCGGGTGGTGGCGGAGTTTGTATCCCACTTAGGGAAAGCTGAGTTGCTTTGTGGGTACCAGGTCCATAATGCCATTTATTGTTGAGTGGCCTGTTGTTAGGGAGAGAAAGCTGGTGCCCACAGCCACCATTTCCAGGCTAGGCTGTGGGCCGCATTTTGCCCCATGGGGTCTCGGCAGCGTTGGCTACGATTTGGTGAGGTATCGCTCCAGGTGGTGGTGGAACCTGTGTCCCACTTGGGGAAGTCGAGTGTTGCTTTGTTGGTGCCAGGTCCTCAGTGCCATTTCTTTGTAAACGGCCAGTATGCATCACGGCAGCTCCTGCATTGAGCATCTGCCCCCTGGTGGTCAATACACATCATAGCGACTAGTCGGAGGGACACAGCATATTAACCTTTTATATATAATAGCATCTCTTGTAATGCATAGTTCAGAACATAAAGGCAGGGTCCCCACCTTTAGTATCTATGATAAAAGCATAATATGCTAATTAGACTGGAGGTCTTTCTGGACAAAGTTGTAGGAGAAGCCCCGGTCCTAGGTGCTAGAGGGAAGCTGGTGCCAGCAGCTGGGGGAAGGAAGGCCTACTCTTGCACAAATTTTGTGCATTGGGCCTCTAGTAAATAACATAAAATAGAAAGGAAAACAAGGGAGAAAACATGTTCTCAGGAAAAATGGCAGAAAACAGTCTCTGAGAGAACTGTTGTCAGCAATGTGAAATGTTCTAGTCCAGCAGCTGCCAATTTTCCGGCAAGGAAAACCCAGCTGGCCATATCGCTCAGGCAAGTGAGTCATCACGACAGTGGATCTCATCTGTCTGCCCCTCATCTGACCCATACCTTTCTGGTGGGGACTGCGAGTTGTATTTTGGATACAACTGCTGACCTCTTCCAGACCTTTGCAGCTTAAGGTTTCTAGGACAGAAACAAGTGTGGGGTGGATTCTTGTGGTTTTTGCTGCAGTGTTTCTATGCTGTAACTACCACTTAGTCTTTGAAGGCTTCCGAGGGAACACTTCAGCATGTTGATTTATTTCCTTTCAATCCATTTTCTATTTAAATAAATAAAAGAAAGCAAATTGTCTTTAAGGAGAAACACCAGTACCACTTGTCAAAAGATTGTAATTTCCCTAATGAATTTTCTTGTTTAAAAATTTTTAATTGATTTTAGAGAAACACCCATTTGTTGTTACACATACGCATTTTTTTCTTTTTTAAAAAATATATATATATATATTTTTTATTGATTTTTTACAGAGAGGGATAGAATTAGAAACATGGATGAGAGAAAATCATCAACCATATGCCCACTGGGGATGTGCCCGCAGCCAAGGTATATGCCTTTGACCGGAATTGAACCTGGATCAGTCCGCAGGCCGATGCTCTATCCATTGTGCCAAACTGGTTTTGGCTTGGTTGAATCTTATATGTGCTGTGGCCAAGAATCAAACCCACAACTTCAGTATTTTATTTTTTAAGTTTCCCATGGGTTATTTAGGGGTAAGTGGTATTTTGGTTGGGTTGGGTGTTTTTTTTTAACCCCCCAATATATTTTATTGATTTTTTTTTTTTACAGAGAGGGGGAGGGATAGTTAGAAACATCGATGGGAGAGAATCATCAATCAGCTGCCTCTTGCACCACCCCCCCACCAGGGATGTGCCCGCAACCAAGGCACATGCCCTTGACCGAAATCAAACCTGGGACCCCTCAGTCCACAGGCCGACGCTCTCTATCCACTGAGCCAAACCGGTTTCAGCTGGTTGGGTTTTTAAAAATATATTGATTTTTTACAGAGAGGAAGGGAAAGAGATAGTTAGAAACACTGATAAGAGAGAAACAGCGATTAGCTGCCTCCCGCACACTCACTACTAGTACATGCCCTTGACCGGAATTGAACCTGGAACCTTTCAGTCCGCAGGCCAACGCTCTATCCACTAAGCCAAACTGGTTTCGGCCAACTTAATTATTTTTCAAGATTATTTTAGCTATTCTGGTTCTCTTGCATTCCCACCTGAATTTTAGGATGGTCTTGTCAATTTCTACAAAGCAGCAAGCTGTGATTCTCCTAGATCTTTAGTTTTTCCAACAATGTTTAGTAGTTTTAAGAGTATAAATCTTGCCTTCAGGTGTGGCTCAATGATTGAACATTGACCCATAAACCAGGAATTAATGGTTCAGTTCTCAATTCCTGGGTTGTGGGCTTGATCCCCTGGAGGGGGCATGCAGGAAACAGCTGATCAATAATTCTCTTTCATTATTTTTTTTAAGGGATTTTTAAATATATATATATTTTATTAATTTTTTACAGAGAGGAAGGGAGAGAGATAGATAGCTAGAAACGTCGATGAGAGAGATATATCGACCAGCTGCCTCTTGCACATCCCCAACCGGGGATGTGCCCGCAACCAATGTACATGCCCCTGACCAGAATCAAACCTGGGACCTTTCAGTCCGCAGACCGACGCTCTACCGCTGAGCCAAACTAGTTTCGGCTCTTTCATTATTGATGTTTCTATCCTTCTCTCCCTCTCCCTGAAATCAATTTTTTAAAATTAAAAGATATAGCCCAGTTCAGTGGTGTGAGCACTGACCTATCAACCAGGGGGTCATGGTTTGATTCCATCAGGGCACTTGCCCAGATTTTGGGCTCAGTCCCAGTGTGGGGCATGCAGCAGGCAGCTGATCAATTATCTCTGATCATTAATGTTTCTCTCTCTGAAATCAATAAAAACACATTAATAAAAGGAGTATAAATCTTGTGATTCTTTTGTGAAATTTACTCCCGAGTATTTTATTCTTTTAGATGCTATTGTAAATGGAAGTTATTTGAACCTTTAACATTTTGGATATGTGAATATACTGCTCATTCAAAAGTTGATTAAATAGCCCAGCTGGCCCTGAAAAGGAGTGTGACTGTGGGCAATGGAGCTCCTCTGAGCCAAGTGCAATTTGTGGGAAGTCAATGATCATTCAACACACTCTCCCACCTATAAACAGGACATAGAAATCAGTAAAGGGACTATTTTTTCTGTGATGAGAACCAGCTTATTTCAACCTAACCACATTTTCCTGGAAATCTCAATCAATGACAGGAAGGCTGAGGGGTGGAGAGTGGAGACAATATGCAGTACCCTATCTTGATTACTGTAACTGTAGTTTCCAGTTTTACACGGGACAAAATGGACCTGATGATGTGAAATAGCTGGTCCAGGTTCATGGCATGAGTGAGTGAAGGAGTCTGTATTCAAACTCAAGCCTTTCCACGAAATGACGGTCTCAGTGGCTTTGAAGAATGTCATCGTTTCCCTTCCTTTGCCAAGTGACTTTTATGGTGCCTGGTACTGCCCAGGCCTAACAAGGACATCGTGGGTGCAATGGAAGCCAATGCAATTCGGGCAATAAGAGCTGACTGAGGTGGTCTGGAGACACTCGGTTGTCATAACCTGTTACTGGCACCTGTTGGGTGCTTCCCAACACCCTGCATTGCCCAGGGTGGCTCCTACAGGAAAGAATTGCCAGGGTTCGTTTCCCAGTCAGGGCACATGCCCTGGTTGGAGGCTCGATCCCCAGTGGAGGGATGGGGGAGGAGGCGGGCAGGAGGCAGCCCATTGATGATTCTCATCATTGACATTTCTATCTCCTCCCTTTCTCTGAAATCAATAAAAATGTATTAAAAAAGAAAAAAAGAGCTGAAGTGGCAGATCCCGGGGGCCAGCAGGCACCCCATCCAGGCGAAGGTGTCCGGAGGCAGAAGTGAGGAAGTCTTCGCTGACGCCTGAAGGGTGACGCGGTCAGCAGGCAGAAGCTGCCATGGGGGCTGTTTCCAGCAAAGGCAAAACCAAGGACACCGGGGCACGCCGGGCCGGACATGCAGAGCCTTCTGGGGATTTGGATCTGGTCCGAGTGAAGAAGGTTGAGGAAAACATACCGAGGGCCGTGTTCACGAAGATGCGGGTCCATGAGGGAAGGAAGGGAGGGCTGTGACAAGGACAGGTGGCCCCCGCTGACAGCGCGGAGCTGAGGGCGAGCGCACGTGGTGGCCAGGCGAAGGCACTGCGGGGCCTGCGCCATGACAGTCTCGCGGCACTCTGCTTCCCGGGACCGGGGAAAGGCCTCCAGGGACATCCCGGCGGGTCGCTCAGGCGGGAAAGGAGGCTCGGGCGCAGTCCGTTAACTTCCAGGCTCTAGGCTCCCCCCACGCCTCCGGCTCAGGGCCTCCTTCCTCACCTCAGCCCTCGTCACCTTCCCTCCGGTCAGAGGGTCCTTCACTCCGCGGGGCAGGTCCGCCCACCTGAGGAGACCGGTGAAATGCCGGCCGGGTGCCAGCGTCCGCCGCAACAGGAGCGCCGTAACACGACACGCCCCGGGAGTCATAAAGCCCGCGGGCAGGGCGACGCCCCCAGCCGCTCCCTTCCACGCAGTTCGGAGGAGGACGGCGGACTCCGCGAATGCGCGGGAAAACCGCCGCCGCCCTCCAGTCGCTTCTCGTTGGCTAATCCCGCAGTGGTTTTCTGAGGCCCGCCTCCGTTGCTCGCGGGCGATGTTTTCATTGGCTACCATCCACCCACCGTCCACCCTCACTGGTTCATCGCTCCGCTCATCAGGCTCTGCCACGGACACAGGCGGAGAGCGGCGCGAGGCCCCGCCCCCACTTGCTCACTCGCACGTCCCAGTGGAGGCCGGAGGCCCCGCCCCCACGTGCCGTGTGCAAAAACAAACAGCCGTTAGGAAGGCGGTGCCGGAGGGGCGGGGTCTGGATAGAAGGAGACGTGCGATTGGGCGTCCGCCGAGGTTCAAACTAGCAAAGCGGGCGGCCATTGGTCGGGGCGGCGCGAGGCGGGCCCCGGTTATTGTCCGGGCTCCGGCAGCGACGGCAGCGGTCGGTGCTGCGGGAGCAGCGGCGGCGGCTCGGCGGGAGCGGGAGCGGCCGAGACGATGGTGAGGGCGGAGGCGGCGGCGGCGGCGGCGGCGGGCGGGCCGGGGTCGAGCGCGGCCTGAGCGGGCGGCAGCCCCTCCGCTGCCGGCGAGCGCGTCCCGGCGCTGAGCGGTGCGCCGTGTGGCTGGGACGCAGCGCCCGGTGGGGACGCGCGGGTTCCCCGCTCATCGGAGGGCCTTGCGGCCCCGGGGCCGAAGCCTTTCCGCGGGCGCAGGAAGCGCAGGTCCGGCCGCCGGTGCTCCCGGGGTCACGCGCGCCCCGGCGGAGTGCCGGGCGCCGGTGTCCCCTTCCCGGCGGCTAAAAATACCGGCGGCGCCGAGTGGTCAGCGAGCCCGCGGGAGCTCCAACTTGAGCGGAAGTGAGCCGCGTCCGTTCGCGTCCGAGTGTCCGTCCCACCGAGTGCGGGGCCCGCTCCGTCCGCTCCGGTTGTTGGATTGGACCCCCTGTGGGCGTCTCCGGATCGATATTTCCTTACTCTGGAGTCAATGGCATGGCCTCGGAGAGGATGAAAACAAAGTTCAGCACTTGGTTTGGCTTCTCAGGCGTCGCGTTCATTCAGTTCACAGTCTGATTTCCTGAATCAGAAGCGTGTCTGACTGAATCTCCAAACCGCGGAAACAGCCACTGAATGGACCAGGTTTCTAAACACTGATGTTGTCTCCGCCGCCGCCGCCTCTTCCTCCTCCTCCTCCTCCTTTTTTTTTTTTGTCTCTGCCTTCTTAAAGCAACTAGATTAATTCGGTGGATGAAACATAGATGAAAACGGCTTAGGAGTACATTGGGAAACCCGCGGTGTTTTGCCAATGGTGGCTTTTTTTTTGGTTTTTAATATTTTATTGATTTTTCACAGAGAGGAAGGGAGAGGGATAAAGAGCTAGAAACATCGATGAGAGAGAAACAACCAGCTGCCTCCTGCACACCCCCCCATGAGGGATGTGCTCACAACCAATGTACTTGCCCTTGACCAGAATCGAACTTGGGATCCTTCAGTCTGCAAGCTGACAACGCTCTATCCCTGAGCCAAACCGGTTTCGGCCAGTTGATTCTTATATGTGCCCTGACAGGGGGATCAAACCTGCCACCTTTGGTGTACTGTAAGATTCTCCAACCAACTAAGCCACACCATTCATGGATGTTTAATTTTTTTCCCTTATTTTTTACTTGTTTCCTCTTAGAAGGCTAAGTTCTGAATGTTCTTGTGGAAATTATATGTTGACATGAAGATTCTTCAGTCTGAAATTTGAAAAATATGTTCAAATTTTTAGCAATTTCATTTAAGTAAGGTTTGACCTCATTTTAAATAAATTAGTAAGTGGTGATATAACGTGTATATTGCTATGTATATTTACGTCATTATTAATTTATATAAAATTGAGGAAGGAGATCACCTAGATTTTTTTTAACTGATTAAAATAAAATTAGGAAATTCTTGTTTCCTGAATATTGTGAAATAGCATCTTCACCTGGAGTCTTTTTTCACATAGGCTGGAGGCAAAGCTGGTAAGGACAGTGGGAAGGCCAAGGCTAAGGCAGTGTCTCGCTCACAGAGAGCTGGGCTACAGGTAATGTATCTATGATATTGTAATTCATTATTAAACTCTTTACTGTTGTAATTTCATAGCCCATAGAAATTTCATTAATTACAAAAATATACTACTACTGACCTTTAATAATGAGGTTAATTGGTCAAAATTTAAATCATAAAGCAATTATCTTTTAATTTGTATTCTCTTCCAAACTAGAACAGTTATGAAGAGGTCTTAAGTAAATTGGGTAATTTTGCTCTTTTAAAATCTATTATTTCTAGATTATAACTGTTTCTGATTATTTTATAAATTGTATCAAAATACTAAATATTTCCAAACTTCATCTATTTGAATAATTGCACCTTCAGTACACAAATTGAACATTTTCTGGATGAGTAAGAATTATTCTGTGCATATGAGACAGTTTGTAAATAGGGAAGTTCAAAGACCAGACAGTAAGGTTTGGATTTTATCCTCTGGGCAGTGAGTCACTGGAAGTTTTTGAACAAGAGGCTGACATGATCTAGGTGGTACTGCAGGAAGGGGACAGGAACTTAAACTTGATGGGTACATTCTCTATTTTAACTCATGTAAATTCTATTAGAATTTATTTGAAGTGGAAGATGGAAGACCGGTGGAGACTGTTGCAGTGGTATTTGGAGTAAGGTAATACATACCTGAATGAGAGTGGGAAGGACAGGAGTAGGAGCCATTTATGTACTCCCAAAAAGTGGTATGGTGTTGAGAGGAAAGTCAAAGGTTTCTGTAAGCCTCAGAACTAAGGGACAGGAGCTGTGGTAAGGATATGTCAGAAGACGTAAGAATTTAAGTGGAGTCATTTTGGAGTTCTACCAAAACATACACATGACAATGTCCAAAAGTTGTAGATTTGAGTCCAGCTTCCCAAGTGAGGTGATAGGAATAACTACAAGTTTAAAATCATTTTTGTAAAATTGAGTTTCCAATTAGAGCATAAGAAAGCAACACAAGGATAGGGTGAGACCTTGAGAAACACACAGAAAAGCCGAGTTTGCGTTCGTATTAGAGCTCTGTAACCTGCAACCCAAGGAGAAATGGTGTTTGAGGTCCTCCTCTCTCCAGAGGACAGGCCAGTCATGGAGGGCGCATTAGGGAGCAGGGCATGGTCCTGCTCCCGCCCATCCCCAATCCTGCCTTTTCTCCTCTCCTGAAGGTTGCCATCTGGAGGCAGCTAACACATTTGGTCATTAAAATGTTACCCTGGTCTTCAAGAAGTGTGCTAGCGTTTGGGGGAAATAGGTGACAAGAAAGGAAGTTCCGGATTCGCTTTTAAATGTTGCCTTCGGAAAGCAGGCATCTGGGCTGTAACTGGCCCTGGACTTAGACGTGGAGCGGTTCTGAGTAAAGCGGGCAGAAGGAGGGGAGCCTGTGGAGAGGAAGCTGTTGGATGATGGGGCCAGGAACAGGGTGAGGAGGACCCATAAAAATTGGTAGAGAATAGTAAAGAGTGCAGTGAGGTTATTTGGGGAATGAAAAGTAGCATTTTCAGAAAATAGAGAGTCACAATGAAAGAACGGTGTTGGTTGTTTTTTTTAGAGAATACTCTGTTAGTTTCTGTAATCAAATCCACATAGATTAAGACTTTACATATTTAATTTAGCGTGTTACCTAATGGTGTTGGTTTTTATCAGGTCTCCTCTTGAAACACAGAATGGAGTTGAGGCTGAAGGAACGTGTTGGAGGTTCAGAGGCACACAAGGCTGCTAGGTGAAGGAATTAACAAGACGAATGTGGTTATGAGGCCACATGGGATGTGCAGTTAATGACTGCACAGCAGCTTCTCTCTCTCTCTCTCTCTCTCTCTCTCTCTCTCTCTCTTTTAAAATATATTTTATTGATTTTTTTACAGAGAGAAAGGGAAAGGGATAGAGAGTTAGAAATATCGATCAGTTGCCGCCTGCACACCTTCTACTGGGGATGTGCCCACAACTGAGGTATATGCCCTTGACCGGAATTGAGTCCACAGGCCGATGCTCTGTCCACTGAGCCACACCGGTTAGGGCACAGCAGCTTCTCTCCATCGTACGATGACCTTCCGCTGATGCAGAAACCAGTCATAAAGCCTTGTAGTGTTTGTGTTCTTCAGACTTTGATTCTCTGCTCAGGAGGGTAAAAGCAGGCATGAAGATTTGGGGCTAAGTACTAGGACACAGCACACAGTCTAGGACTGTTCATTGCCAAATAAGTTTGGCTTCCAATATGGGTAATCAGGTTTTTTAACTTACGCTTTACTCAGTTATTTGCCTTTGGTCACACTCAGTGGTGTGATGCTAGACTCTTCAGTGCTCCCATTCAGACGTGTCTCTTTCAGTTTCCCGTGGGCCGCATCCACAGACACTTGAAGACTCGCACCACGAGCCACGGAAGGGTCGGCGCCACCGCAGCCGTGTACAGTGCCGCCATCCTGGAGTACCTCACTGCTGAGGTGTGTAGGGGATGTTAGACGTGGAAGTCCAAAACACTAGACTAGAAAAGGCTGGAACCCTGGAATGTGAGTTTAAAACAAAAATGACAAATCTGCTTGTTAGTCTCTTTTTTAAATATGTTTCTATTGATTTTAGAGAGAGAGGAAAGGAGAGGGAGAAGGATGGAAACATCAGTCTGCTGCCTCCTGCTCACTCCCCACTGGTGGCAGTTTTGTGTTTTTTTTTTTAATATATTTTATTGATTTTTCACAGAGGAGAAGAGAGAGGGATAGAAAGTTAGAAACATCGATGAGAGAGTATCATCGATCAGCTGCCTCTTGCACACCCCCCACCGGGGGTGTGCCCATAACCAAGGTACATGCCCTTGACCGGAATCTAACCTGGGACCTTTCAGCCCACAGGCCGATGCTTTATCCACTGAGCCAAACTGGTTTCAGCACTGGTAGCAGTTTTAGATACGTCCTAATCAGCCTGTTACCCAGGACCGTTTCAAAGAGAACGTTGGTTTACTTGTTCTTAAAATTAAGCAAGGGTCATCCATCCGTATTTTTAAGTGATTGCCAAAGGAATTTAAATACTCTTAGTGAACTCTAAAGTGAGTATATAATCAGTAGAAGTTACAGCATAATCTCTTAATAAAGATTTGGGGTGGGGGGAAAGGTTTGCCAATGTGATAGTACATTTTTAAAAATCACAAATATAATACAAAATTTGATAAAAGACATAATCATTCTGGTTCTATGCATGATTTTATGAATAATATGCTATATTGTGCTTAGCTTCACATTTCGGGAAGGTAAGTTACTTGGGCAAGAGTTGTCTGCTTTTTTTGAGGGAGAGAGGGAGAGAGAGACAAACATTGATGAGAGGGGAAACATCTGATTGGTTGCTTCCTGCACGCCGCCTCCTGGGGATCAAGCATGCAACACAAATATGTGCTCTGACCAGGAATTTTTTAAAAAGATTTTTAAAAATTGATTTTGAGAGACAGAGACAGAGACAGAGAGACAGAGAGAGAGAGAGAGAGAGAGAGAGAGAGAGAGAGAGAGAGAGAGAGAGAAATATTGATGTGAGAGCAGAACATCAATCGCTTGCTCCTGCACACCCCATACCTGGGATAGAGCCCAAAACCTAGTCATTTGCCCCCATCAGGAATCAAAACAGCAACCTTTCAGTGCCCAACCAATTTGAGCCACTCTGGCTATGGCTGGGCAAGAGTTCTTATTTCCTGGGTCCTGGACCACCACTTCCTCCATCCTAGTCCCTCCCAAGGAAAACGTGGTTGGCCACAAAACTCCATGATCTGTGACCCAAGCAAGTCAGTGGCAGAGTTAGCCCACCTCGTAGAAACAGAAGGAGGGTTTTTACTTGAGAAAGATTTAGGTTCAACCTATATGTTAATTATCTGCTGTCATTTCATTAACCTCATCCAGGTCATTTGTGTCCCATTGAGCATTTAAGATTAAATTACTGGTGGCCCTGGCCAGGGTAGCTCAGTTGGCTAGAGCATCATCCCAATACACCAAGGTCACCGGTTCCATTTCTGGTAAGGACACACTCCCAGGATATGGGTTCAATCCCCAGTAGGGAGCATGTGCAGGAAATAGCCCATCAATTTTCTGCTCTAACATCAATGTTTCTCTTTCTCCCTCTCCCTCCCTTTCTCTCTGAAAATCAATAAAATTAGCCCTGGCTGGTTTGGCTCAGTGGATAGAGTGTCAGCTTGCAGACTGAAAGGTCCTGGGTTCAATTCCAGTCAAGGGTGCATGCCTCGGATGGGGGCTCCATCCCCATTAGGGGGCATGCAGGAGGCAGCCGATCCATGATTCTCATCACTGATTTTTCTCCCTCTCCCTTCCTATCAAGTCAATAAAAATATATTTTAAAAAAAGATAGTGGTGCCAGGGCAGAGTCCCAAGGACAATGAGATGGGATTCTGGTGGGTTTTAAAGCATGCCAGTTACTTCAGATGTACAGCAAGGCTTCCCTCGCTCTTAAGTGCAGAGGGTCTGTGGAGTTATCTTTGTAGTCTGACTAAGGGTTTATGATGCCAGTGTGCTCTTTAAAGGGCTTCAAGCTTATTGTGTACGTACTTGTATATAGGGTCCAGTGATGTTAAAACTCTGAATAAAAATAACTAAAAATCTATTCACTTTTAGAGAGTGTGGAGGGAGAAAGAAAGAAATATTGGTCCAGGTGCTGACACTAACCATTGAACACATCAGCCAGGGTGACTACAATTTTTTTGAATTATATTTTTCATCTTTTCTACAAGTGCCAGGAAATAAGTTCTAGCCTCTAAAGGTTATACAGAAATAGACTACATGGTTTTCTAGGTGTCCACATTTAGAATCCTGGCTGAGGAAAAATACCCTTGTGCCTTACTTTTTTCTATAGTAATAGCTTTTTGCTGAAGTTTCTTATAGAAAATGAATAGTGAAAAACCAAATGAAATAATGAGAGCTCTATAAAAAGCATTATAAAAACATGAAAAAGAATGGATTTTGGAATTGTTGAACATTCCTATGACCTCTCCTCCAAGGGTACTTACGAAAGACACAACCTCTGTTCTCAAGGATATGATTGTGTTCAGATATATTGGATGGGACTTGTTTGTATGTTTATATTCCTGTCCAATGCCAAGTCCATTGGAGGAGCATTAATGGATATCCAGAATTGTTTAAGGAGGGGGAAAAAGAAAAGAGTACTATTGGTTTCTAACATTTGTGTGTCTTGTGCCCAGATGCTGTAGTGGTCTCTGTAGCTGTACACCAGTCCACACTGACCCTCAGCACCCCTTGGCTGACGTGCTGTCGCGGTGCTTTGCAGGTGCTGGAGCTGGCCGGCAACGCCTCCAAGGACCTCAAAGTGAAGCGCATCACTCCCCGCCACCTACAGCTCGCGATCCGCGGGGATGAAGAGCTGGATTCTCTCATCAAGGCCACCATAGCTGGGGGTGGTACGTACTCACACCTCTTCTGATCAGATTGCTGTTGGCCTTTCTGATTATAAACGTCGACCTCTATGGGGTGATCAGGGGCGTCAGGATCAGTGAAAGTGAGGTGTAAGTTGTCCCTTAACCCTTTTGGGGTCATCTTTGGAGAACCTCTTGAAAGCTGTGGTTATTCTTCTCCCAAAAAGCACGTAGAATCACATCATTTTATACATCTCGTCTTAGAGGAGTTCCTGGACCTTGAGATGAGGCCCCCCCTTGGTATAGATACATAAATAGGATCAGACATGAGATAGGACTTAAGTAAATTTCACTCTTTGTATAATTGTTCTTTTTTGATTAAGGCCCTGAAGTAGTTAGATACAGCCAGTTCTTTTTAATAATTCATTTTTTTTATTTCATTGTAGGTGTGATCCCTCACATCCATAAGTCTCTGATTGGAAAGAAGGGTCAGCAGAAAACTGCTTAGAGAATTGTTTTAACTCTCTTCCTCCCTGTCATTGTACTGTAACTAGGACAGAAGAAATATTGGGGCTATATGGAATTTTAAAAAGTTAAATGGAACAGCATAGACAATTACTGTAGACATGGTAAGAGAAACATTTGTACGTTCTTAGACTCGAAGTTTGATAAAAGTATCTTTTCACGTGGCAACAGTTGCGTGTTGATTGGCTGGCTTTCTCCCATGTATTTTATACAAAAATGGAATTGATAAACCATTTTTTACAAAAATGATTTGTCTCAAATCTATTCTGTTTGTGATGTACTGGAAATACTTTACTCATGTGAAATATTTAAATTTTTAAATTGGTTATATATTTAGAATCTTTTTTTTCTGTATGCAGAATAATTTTTTTTAAAGGAGGTGATTTTTTTAATATATATATATATATTATTGATTTTTTACAGAGAGGAAGGGAAAGGGACAGAGAGCCAGAAACATTGATGAGAGAGAAACACCGACCAGCCGCTCCCTGTACACTCCCCACCGGGGATGTGCCCACAACCAGTGTACATGCCCCTGACCGGAATCGTACCTGGGACCCCTCAGTCCGCAGACCGACGCTCGATCCACTGAGCCAAACCAGTTTCAGCTAATTCAGAATATTCTTTTTTTTTTTTTTTTAAATATATTTTATTGATTTTGTACAGAGAAGAAGGGAGAGAGATAGAGAGCTAGAAACATCGATGAGAGAGAGTCATCGATCAGCTGCCTCTTGCACACCCCCTACTGGGGATATGCCCGCAACCAAGGTACATGCCCTTGACCGGAATCGAACCCGGGACCCTTCAGTCCCCAAGCCGACGCTCTATCCATTGAGCCAAACCGGTCTTGGCTAATTCAGAATATTCTTAAAATAGAATCTGAGAATATTGCTTTACCATTATTGATACCATATTATTTTGAGTCTTAGATGCTATCTGTTTCTAGTGTGCACCATTTTTACACACTACCAAAGAAAGGAAAACTGCCCATTAACCATGATACACCATCGATAGTGAGATGCATACCAGTTTCAGAAATGTTAGAATATGAAAACATTAAAATTGTGCACTTAAAATTGTTGAACTAGGACAGCATAACTATTTGGTTAACTGCACGGCAGGTCCTGTGCTAAGAGCCTTACTGACCCAGAAACTCTATTAACCCCACTTTAAATATATGGAACCTGAGGCCCACAGAAGCTGATTGGTTTGCCAGAAAACTGGTTTAGTAGATAGAAATGGCAGAGCTGGGATACAGACTTAGATTGCCTGACTTCAGAGCCCACACTCTTACCTAGATTTGAAGTTAAATTTATCAGAGTTTTCCGCTTTGGGCTTAAAATTCAAATTTTTAGTGGTCTTTTATTGATACAGTAACATTTAGTAATTTGCAAATTTTTAAACTTATTTTCCTTTGTCAGTTTCTAAGTAACTTTTAAATTTTATATAATGTACCAGTAAGTGGTACTTCAGGAAGTATTTTCTGCCTGGAAGTCTTAAATAAAAAGCATAGGGTAGTTGAATGGATGCAAAAACATGACCCAATTATATACTGTCTAAAAGAGACCCACTCTTGATCTTCACAGATCACAATGGAATGAAATTAGAAATCAACTAAAGTAGCGGAAGCCGGTGTGACTCAGTGGTAGAGCATCAGTCTGTGGATTGAAAGGTCCCAGGTTCGATTCCGGTCAAGGGCATGTACATTGGTTGCGGGCACATCCCCGGTAAGGGTTGTGCAAGAGGCAGCTGGTCGATGTTTCTCTCTCATTGACGTTTCTAGCTCTCTATCTCTCTCCCTTCCTCTCTGTAAAAAATCAATAAAATATATTTATAAAAAAGAAAAGAAAAAAGAAATCAACTAAAGTAAAAACACTCAAACACATTCAAACACATGGAGGCTAAATAACATGTTATTAAACAATGAATGGGTTATCAATGAGATCAAATAATCAAATACTCCCTGGAAACAAGTGAAAATCAACAGATAACCCAAAATCTCTGGGACATAGCAAAAGCAGTTTTGAAAGGAAAGTTCATAATACTACAGGCCTATCTCAAAAAACAAGAAAAATTAATAAACTAACACTACAACTTAGAGAATAAGAAAAGCCCAGAGTAAGTGGAAGGAAGGAAATAATAAAGATCAGAGCAGAAATAATCCAAACAATCCAAAAGGTCAATGAGCCCAAGCCAGTTTGGCTCTGGATAGAGCATCAGCCTAAGGGCCAGACCGGGCAAGGGAGGATCCTGAAACCGAGGTATGTGCCCTTGACTGAATGGACTCTTCAGTCAATGCTCTGTCCACTGAACCAAACGGGTGAGGGTTCAGGTAACATTTGACGAAGTGAGAACATACAATGGAGTCAAAACACTCTTCAATAAATGTTGGGAAAGTTGGACAGATACATGCAAAAAAATGAAACTAGACCACCAACTTACACCATATACAAGAAAAAACTAAAATGGATAAAAGATTTAAATACAAGTTGTGAAATCATAAAAATCCTGGAAGAAACTGTAAGCAGCAAAATCTCAGACATCTCTCTTAGCAATATGTTTACAAATGAATACAGTTCATAGGGCAAAGGAAATGGAGAAAATAAGCAAATTTGACCATCAAAATAAAATTTTTTTAAAAAAATATATATTTTATTGATTTTTTTACAGAGAGGAAGAGAGAGGAATAGAGTTAGAAACATCCATGAGAGAGAAACATCGACCAGCCGCCTCCTGCATACCCCCTACTGGGGATGTGCCCGCAACCCAAGGTACATGCCCTTGACCAGAATCGAGCCTGGGACCTTTCAGTCCGCAGACTGAGGCTCTATCCACTGAGCCAAAGCGGTTTCGGCAAAATAAAAAACTTCTGCACAGCCAAAGAAACCAACAAAACGAAAAGGGAGCCCACTGTATGGGAGAACATATTTGGCAATAATATATCTGATAAAGGTTTAATATCCAAAATATATAAGGAACTCATACAACTTAACAAAAGGAAGACAATCCAATTAAAAAATGAGCAAAGGCACTGGCTGGTTTGGTGCAGTGGATAGAGGATCTGCCTGTGAACTGAAGGGTCCCGAGTTCCATTCCATTTAAGGGCACATGCCCAAGTTATGGGCTGATCTCCAGTTGGGGGGGTGTGGGAGGCAGCCAGTGGGTGATTCTCATCATCGATATTTCTATCTCCCTTTCCCTTACAGAAAATCAATAAAAACATATAAAATAATTTTTTTAAAAAATGTGCAAAGGATCTAGACACTTCTCCAAAGAGGACATACAGATGCCCAAGAGACATGAAAGAATGCTCAAAGCCATGATCATCAGAGAGATGCAAATTAAACAATGAGGTACCACCTCACTCCTGTAAGAAGGAGCTGGTGGGAATGCGGAGAAAAGGGAACCCTCATGCACTGCTGGGAATGCAGACTGGTGCAGCCACTGTGGAGAACAGTACGGAATTTCCCCAAAAAATAAAAAATGGAACTGCCATTTGACCCAGTAATCCCACTTCTAGAAATACTATATCCTAAGAAACCCTAAGCATCAATCAGAATTTATGCACCCCTGTGTTCACAGCAGCATAAGTTACAATAGCAACAATAGCGAAGATCTAGAAACAGCTCAAGTGCCCACAAGTCTATAAGTGGATAAAAATTACACTATGGAATACTATGTAGCAGTAAAAAAGAAGGATCTCTTACACTCTGAGACAGCATGGAGGGACCTGGACAGTATTATGCTAAGCAAAATAAACCAGTTAAAAAGGCAACTATCACATGATCTCACATGTGAAATTTAATGAGCAAAATAACCTGATGAACAAAATAGATCCGGAGACATAGAAGCATACACCTGCAGAATCACTGAGGCAAGGCAGGGAAGATGGGTGGGTAAGAGATCAAAGAACTTTTGTGCATCTATGCATAACCCATGGACACAGACAGAGTGGTGGAAGCCTGGGGTGGGGGTGGAAAGGGGCTAGAAGGGGTCAGTGGGCAGGGAATATCTGTAATACTTTCAACTATTTAAAAAATAGCCCAGCAGGTGTAGCTCAGTGGTGAGCATCGCCCTATGAATCAAGAGATTACCACTTGATTCCCAGTTGGGGTACCTGCCCAGGTTGCAGGCTCAACCGATCAATTATTCTCATCATTGATGCTTCTCTCTTCCCCTCCTTCCCTCCCTGTCTGTAATCAATCAAAATATATTTTAGGCCTAACCGGTTTGTCTCAGTGGATAGAGCACTGACCTTTGGCTTGAAGGGTCCCAGGTTGGATTCCGATCAAGGGCATGTACATTGGTTGCGGGCACATCCCCAGTGGGGAGTGTGCAGGAGGCATCTTGTCGATGTTTCTAACCCTCTATTCCTCTCCCTCTCTGTAAAAAAATCAATAAAATTATGTTTATAATGTATGTATATCATGTCAGTATTCAAATTTCCCTGCTAGTCTCATAAATTTTTAAAAATATAATTTTATTGATTTTTTTTACAGGCCTACGCCCTATTCACTGAGCCAAACCGATTTCAGCTTATAATTTTTTTTTTTTTTTTTTTTTTTTTATATTGAAGACCACACTGCCAAGCTTTCTGATAATTCTGAGTGTGTGGTCTCAGCTTTTTCTTTTTTTAAAAATATATTTTTATTCATTTTTTACAGAGAGAACGAGAGAGGGATAGAGAATTAGAAACATTGATGAGTCATCGATCAGCTGCCTCTTGCACACCCCCTACTGGGGATGTGCCCGCAACCACAGTAGTACATGCCCTTGCCCGGAATCGAACCTGGGACCTTTCAGTCTGCTGGCTGACGCTCTATCCACTGAGCCAAACCGGTCCCGGCAGCTTATAAATTTTTTTATAGTTGGTTTGTTTTAATCAGAATCCAGGTAACATTTTTATCTTACATTTTGTTGCTATCTCGTTTCTTTTTTAAAAACACTATTTTATAATTTATATTTTTTAAGTGTTTTCATTGAGAGGGAGAAAGAGAGCGCACAACATTGATCAGCTGCCTCCTGCACAGCCCCTACTGATATGGAGCCTGAAACCCAGGCATGTGCTCTTGAGTCATGGGTTAATGATGCTCAACTGTTATCCATACCAGCCAGGTCTTGTTTTTAAATATTTCTGTTTACTCTTTGTTTTTCTTGTAATTTAATTTTTGAAGGGACCGATTTTTTCATCTCTTGTCTATTTTACTGAATGCAACCTAATGGCATTTAATTTTTTCCACTGTTCCCCCATATTTCTTATAAATAGCTCTAGAGGGGTTATTGTTTCATTTTGCCTTTTAAATATTCTCACCTGAGGATATGTTTTTATTGATTTTAAAGAGAGGAAGAGGTGGGGGAGAAGGAAGAGAGGGGGGTTGGGAGAAAGAGAAACATCTGTGTGAGAAACAAATCAGTTGTCTCTGAGCCCTGAGCAGGAATTAAACCCAGTCTAGGTATGTTTCCTGACTGGGGAATCAAACCCAAAACCTTGCTACTATGCTTCAACCAATTGAGCCACCAGGCCAGGAAATTGTGCTTTTTCACAAAACTGATTTCATAAGTGAAATTATGTGCTTCCTATTGGATTCCATCAGGGAGCACCCAACTCCTGCCTCCTCTTGTGACATGAAGGCTGACTGATGGATGGGTGCTGCCTGCCCACCCCATTGTCACGTGTTTTTTCCTTCCAAGTTCTCGTCAGCTCCTCTCTCCCTTACTGCCTGCCCAGATCCAGGACCTGCTGGGAGTCACCCCTTCTGCTCTCAGACTTACAAAATTTCAACATTCTGATTGGACTTTCAGCACTTACTTTGAAAAGTTTCTATACTGAGAAGATCGTTATCCTTGTGCGAACTTTTTTTGTTGATCTTCACCTAAGGATATTTTCTCCATTGATTTTTGAGTGGGAGGGTGGGAAGTGGGAGAAAAAAACATAGATGTGAGACATCCATTGGTTGCCTCCCACCGGTGCCCAGACTGGGGCTGGGATCAAACCTGCAGCCCAGGTTAAGTGCTATCGACTGGGAATTGAACTCGGTGCACAGGCTGAAACTCTCACCACTACACACACATGCCAAGTCCCTGCTGAACTTTTACAGACTGAAAGGTCCCAGGTTCGATACCGGTTAAGGGCACATCCCTAGTGGAGGTGTGCAGGAGGCAGCACATCAATGATTTTTCTATTCTTAAGTCCGTAAAAATGTATTTAAAAAACAGGTAAACCATCAAGTTGGGAGATTTCCCGTGGTGCTTAAGAGCCCAGCTATCCTCTCACCTGCCACAGGACAGGGGAAGTGAAGGCAAGCTTCGTGGGAACATTTTCCTCATCTGGTTAACTCGTAGGCCATCTGGCAATGCCAACTAGGTCTTCTAACTACACGAGACCATCTGAAGCAAAACCACCATCACGGTAAACTAGCAATCTGCTCTTCACACCTCCTTGCTTTTCCAAAACCCAGCCTTGTACATTGTATCCTCGTTTGGCAGGCACTTGTTAGAGGAATAAGTCTTGGCCTGTGATCACACTTAGGACCACACAGAATAACTCTACAGCCATCGTGAGGAAACCGGTACAAAGCCAAGCAGCCCATCACCTGGTCACCACCTAAGCAGCGTCAGACACAAGTAATTGTTGGGACTAGAGGTGGGGTGGTGTTCCTGGCTCGCACCCCCCTGGGCTCATCCTGGGCAGGCTCCCTGCTGCGCAGGCACAGAGCTCCTGACACACCCTTTACACTTGGTTTGATTTTACCTTTTCTCATCTTGAGGTTAGGGAAGAAAAAACTACTGTGAAATTAAGTAGCAGGACTGCCTAGAAGACCAATTACTGCTTAAAATGAAACCCAAAGAACAAACAATGGTTTATAGTTTTTTATTTCATAATCATAAACTTAACTCTGCAATCCAGCTAGACTGGGAAAGGGTAAGGAAATGATGGAACCCAATAAACTGGCAAGAGCACATAGATTATGGAACATTCCAAGCAAATTGGGGTGAAGGGGTGCTCTCCTGAGCTACAGAAGGAATGGTCTGGTGGTGAAGATAAAACACGTCAGATTTATTAGAGTTGCCCACAGTCAGCAATGGTGATCTTCTTGCTGGTCTTGCCATTCCTGGACCCAAAGCGCTCCATGGCCGTCACAATATCCATGCCTTCTTTCACCTGGCCGAAGACCACATGCTTGCCATCCAACCTGGAAATAGAACAAGCAGTCTGCACTGTGCATCAAGATGAGAAAAGAGCCCCACAAACTAGCAGTGCATGCAAGAGCACACTAGAAAGGAAGCTTACAAAGCATTTAGTAAGTACTGGAAACACCTGACTCAAAGTGGCTTAAGATCCTCCACCTGAGGCCAAAATGTTTATTAGTAGCTTTGCAAGCACAGGTCAGTGGTTGAGTGTCAACCTATGAACCAGGCCATAGGTTCCATTCCTGGTCAGGGGATAGGATATGCCTGGGTTGCAGGCTTGATCCCGTGTGGGGTGTGCAGGAGGCAATTGATCAATGATGCTCTATTACTGATGTTTTTATTTTTATATTTCTCCCTCTTGGAAAAAATTTTTAAAACGTTTATAATGGACTCCTAAGAAGGGTTAATAAGCCACATGCAAATTAGATAAAGACTTTTAGCCTAGGCCTGGTCGGCGTGGTTCTGTGTCAACTATGAAACAGATCATAGGTTCAATTCCCGGACAGGGTATATGGGCTCAATACCCAATGACTCTCATCACTGATGTCTTTCCCTGAAATCAGTTTAAAACAAAACAAGTTTTAGCATAGCCGGTTTGGCTCAGTGGATAGGGTTAGCCTACAGACTAAAGATGGACAGCAATCCCCAGTAGCAGGTTGTGCAGGAGGCAGCTGATCCAATGATTCTCTCTTATCACTGATATTTTCTATCTGTCCCCCCTGAAATAGGAATTTTAAAAAGCATGTTTTCCATGGATTACAGAGTAGAAGGGAAGAATCATCAATTGGCTGACCAAGCCCCAATGAGAAACAAGAGCCACCTGGGGCAATGTACCTTGACCAGGCACCAACCTATTACGTACTAGTTCATAAGCTGGAATAACCCTCACCCACACCGCTCAGGCCAAAAATACTACGTTGGAGCCAACCATCCAGCAGCCAAGAGTCCTGGCTCACTGTTCACAGGGTCTTGCTCTCTACAGCCCACTATCTGAGCTCGTAGGTGTCCACATCTCCTGCTGCCAGCGATGTCAGCAGCAGGGAAGGCCAGGAGCCCAGTGGTTTGTGCTCCTTGGTTGCCCTGCGGTCCCGTCCTTACCATTCGGTCTTGGCAGTGCAGATGAAAAACTGGGAGCCGTTTGTATTGGGCCCAGCATTTGCCATGGATAGGATGCCAGGGCCTGTGTGTTTCAGGATGAAGTTCTCGTCCGCAAACTTCTCCCCGTAGATGGACTTGCCGCCTGTGCCATTATGGCGTGTGAAGTCACCACCCTAGAATTTAAGAGAAACCTGTCACTTTTGCAACATAAATGGAAAATGTGCCAAGCCTGTAAGGTTCAAATTTCAAAATGCAAGTTTAAACTGATCAGATTTACAAGAAACCAAAAAGGAACACTAATAGCTCATGTTTACATATTCTGAACAAGACTGGCTCAATCCCAAAGTAACCCAAATAAAAATATATGAATTTCATACCTGGCACATAAATCCCGGAATAATTCTGTGAAAGCAAGAACCTTTATAACCAAATCCTTTCTCCCCAGTTGTCAGTGCACGGAAGTTCTCTATTAAAAAAAAAGAAAAAAGGATGTATGTATGTATGTATACACAACTATTAACGGGGACTGCCTTTACAAAAGGTTAAAGGAACTGACCTGCTGTCTTTGGAACTTTGTCTGCAAACAGCTGTAAGAGAAAAACAACACTGCTTACACATTCTATTGCCAATCACCCTGTCTTCAGGGGCTTCTGAACCAAATCCACTTTCTCACTAGAAAAGAATGCTTTGGCAGTGACTTTGAATCCCAAATAAGCAGTGTCCAGACAACCTAAGTCCTGGGGGGTGAGCTAGGCAACCGGAGAGCGAGACTCGCCAAACATCCAGAGCCCGTCATAACTTAAATAGCGCGAAGCTTCCACAAGGCTCTGACACCGCTTCCACCCGCGGCGGCAGCTGAAGGACAGGAATGCCAGATGCAGGGCTGCTCAGCTCCAGGCGGCAGGCGCTCTTGTCAGCGGCTGGTGGAGGGTGGGGGCCGGCCCCACCTCCGGGCCGTCAACCGGCCCTGCTTCCGGCCTGGACGGAGCCCCCCCTGGCAGCCCCGCCGTCGCTCTCGCCCAGGGACCGCGCTGATCCCGTTTCACCGACCCGCGGCCAACCGGACAGGACGGCCTTACGCGCCGGGCGCGGCCAAGTTTCCACGTGGCCGTGACAGGAGGTGACCCAGGCGGCTGGCACGGAACCGCCGGCCCCACGAGACCGAGTGCCCGCCACCGGCCAGGCGCCGCCGACAGGCCGCCTCGACCGGCACGAAGGCCCGCGCCCTGCGCCTCCGGGGCGTTGGCGGCGGCCGCACAGGCCACGCGGACGCAGCTCCGCCGCCCAGGCCGCCGCCCGGCCCGCGGGGCCTCGTCACCGCGCGGGAGGCGGGCCGCGGCGCCGGAGCTTCCGCCGGGTCCCTCCGCACGGCCCCCCGCCCCTGACGCCGTCAAGGGGTCCGGCCCGGGGAGGGGAAGGCGCCCGGGGGCGGCCGCCGGGCGCTCAGGGGGCGCCGCGCCCGTCGTCCGGTAGGGGCGTTGCCACGCGCGGGGCCCGCGGTGGCCAACGGCTCGCGGTCCGAGCACGTGCGCGGCCGGAAGGGCGCGGCCGCCCCTCCCCCCGCCTTTGTCTGCCGCCGCCCCCGGCTCCCAAAATGGCCCCTCGCAGGAAATGGCGCCGCCGCCGCACTCCCGGCGGCCGCCCGCCGAGCCCCTCCGCCGCCGCCCGACCCCCGGTCCCCTGGCGCGCCCACGCCGCTCGCCAGACCTCGAAGGAGACGCGGCCCAAGGGCTCGCCATCGACGGCGATGTCGAAGAACACGGTCGGGTTCACCATGGCTGGTGACGGGAGGCTTCGGGGTGGCGGCGTCTGCAAAGCGGCACGAGCGCCGCCGCCTGCCCTTCTTATAGCCGCGCTTGAACCCGCCCCCCGCCGGTCGCGCGCCGCTACCCTGGCCAATCGGGACCGCGCTCCTGCCAAAATGACGGTGCTGCAGGCCTATGGGAAGAGGCGGCGCTGGCGGTGGGCGGGACCGCAGGCGCGCGTGCGCACTTGCGTTCCTCGGCAGGTTCCCGCCCGCGGGCTCCTCCGCGCACTGCGGCGTGGGGCCGGGGCCGGGGCGGGGGCCGCCCTCCGGGGGCGGGGCGCGGGGGCCGCGGGGGCCGGAGGGCCCCCGGAGGGAGGCAGCCCCCAGCCCGCCCGGCGTCTCCCCACTGCGCGGAGGGGCACTGAGGCGAGCGCGGGCGTCAAGGTCGCGGGGCGCCGGAGGTCGTTGGGCCCGCGCCGCTCGGAGCCCGGGCCGCCGGGGAGGCGTGGGCGCCGCGGGCCGGGCGGTGACGGAATGCGCCCAAACGCCCTACTTTCCCCAAATACCCGGCTCGCCCGCCCCTCCGGGGAGGCGCTGCGGCGCGGGCCGGCGCCCCACCTGCGCGGCTGCGCTCCGCCCTCAGTCCGCCGGGCCCCCGCCCCGCGGGCCGGGCTCCGGCGCCGAGAGGACGGAGCCGCCCGGGAGCCCCGCCATCGCTGGTGCCGAACGCGCATAGCGACCCTCGCGTTTGCCCAGAAACCGTGACCGGGCGTTCACCAGCGCCGGGGCCGCAGCGCGGAGGCCATCGCCGGCCTCGCCCGTCCTCCCGCAGGGCGGCGGCCGGAGGGCGGGCTCTCCGCGGTGGAGGCCGCGCCGCGCACCTCCCGGGCGGTTGGCCGCGGTCCTGCCTGTGCGGGGAGCCGCGCGTGGCTGCGTCCTCACCACCTTCCAGGACCCTGTTTACCAGCGGACAGGCGGGGTCTGGGGCCACCGGCCTGCTCGGGGTTCGAGGTCCCCACTGAGCGCGCTTTGTGACCGGCAGGCAGCTACTCGCCTTCATCCGACCCTGAGAGGAGCCCAGGCCCTGGCTCAATTCCGCCCCTCTCCCCTGGGAGCCTGAGAGCCCCCCCACACCCCAGGGACGGATGGAGGGAGGGATGAAGGGATGGATGGACGGAGGGATGGATGCAGAAACGCCTAATGCAGCATGCTGTGACTTCTGCCCTCTCTTCACCGTCGCCATGGCGCAGCCTCAGCTCCTTGTGCCCACAGGCCGCTGTCTGTACTCAAACGTGCACGTGTTTGCCTAAGGGGCAGACGTTGTAGCAGACTCCTGATTGGGGTCTGAGGAGCTGGACTTCCTAAGGGAGTGAGGCATCAGCAGGCAGGAACCTCCGGAACGTGGGGCTGTCTGCACCTTGCTTGGACCATTCAGACCCCAAAGTGAATCCAACAGCGCCCTGGCCCAGCTAACCAGGTTCCCTCCCAGCAAGCAGAACGCCCTCCTTAGCTGTGCAGGTGTAGCTTACCGTACACAAGTGCTTCTCTCCAAAACATTCCGGTAAGAGGCTATCACAGGAAAATGAACCAGGTGAGCCGGATAAAGACGCTCCTTTGGAAGCAGGCCACTGGTCTCTCCTTAGGGCCTAGCTTGGTCCTCCTGCCACCTGGTCCCTGCTCACAGCTAGGCGGAAGCTGCCCCCGCTGGGACAGCCCGTGACTCCCCTCCTTGCATCTCCACAGCTGCCTTGATGGCCTCCACGTTCCTCTGCCATTTCTCCAGAGCCGGTTTTCCCCTGGGAACTGTTCCACAGGTTTCTCGTGTGTCTGAGTTGTGTCTTGTGTTCCTTACACACCTGCCATGGAGAACCTCATCCGGGCCCATGGTTCAGGTTTTCAGGGACTTGGACGCCACTCCCTGGCAGGGCTCCTCCCTCTTTTCCTCTCTCCTTCCCTTCCTATCTCAGCTGCTGCCAATCTTGTTGGCCTCTCCCGGCAGCAGCCTTTTCACTGGTTACTGTGCCCTGGTCCCAGGTGTTTTCTGAGTGGTAATTCTCAAGACATCTGATGTTGTAGCCACCCCACCTTGGAGACCTCCTGGGCCAGGCCCTCAGTACAGGACGGAATCGGCCCCTTCACAGTCCGGCCCCAGCTGGCTGGCTCTGCTCTGGGTGGACATTTCTCCTGCCACACCGATCCCTCACTCCGCCGTGTTTCCAGAACTGCCCTTTGCCTGTACAGAGCACCACCCCGTCTCTCCTCAACCAGCTCTGCCAGAATCATAGCATCTGCAACATTCAAAGTCTGGAATGGGCCGAAACCAGTTTGGCTCAGTGGATAGAGCGTCGGTCTGCGGACTGAAAGGTCCCGGGTTCGATTCCGGTCAAGGGCATGTACCTTAGTTGCGGGCACATCCCCGGTGGAGGGTGTGCAAGAGGCAGCTGATCGATGATTCTCTCTCATCGATGTTTCTAACTATCCCTCTCTCTTCCTCTGTAAAAAATCAATAAAAATATATTTTAAAAAAAAAAAAGCAAAGTCTGCCGAGACCGGTTTGGCTCAATGGATAGAGCGTCGGCTTGGGGACTGAAGGGTCCCGGGTTCGATTCCGGTCAAGGGCACGTACCTTGGTTGCGGGCATTTCCCCAGTAGGGGGTGTGCAAGAGGCAGCTGGTCGATGACTCTCTCTCATCGATGTTTCTAGCTCTCTATCTCTCTCCCTTCCTCTCTGTACAAAATCAATAAAAATATATTTAAAAAAAAAAAAAAAAAAAAAAAAAAAAAAAAAAGCAAAGTCTGGAATGGATGCATAAATGAGGTCAACAGTCCACAGGCTGGCAATGAGGAACCTGGCCCTGGAGCCTGTCCCTTGGTTTGGTGTGACCTTCACCAGGCCAGCTTGCCGGCACCCTTCCTCTCTCCAGTCAGCCCAGGAGAACACCCAAGGGGTTTCACCCCCCATGGACCTCCTGGTTCATAGGTTGCTGCTCAAGCCACTGAGCCACACTGACCCGGCCAGTTGCTATTCCTTCTTGGGGCACTTTGGGTATTTTTTGCATTTCTAGGAATTTGCTCAGCGAAGTCATGACTTATTGGCGCACAGTTGCTCCTCGTATTTTCTCGTCATTCTTGCTTCTGTAAGGCTGAACAAAGCCCCCCTTTTACTTCTGTTTATGCCTTCCGTCTCACTGAAGCTTGCTCATTCTGCTGCTTCTCAGAGGCACTGGTGCTCCCATTAATGTTCGGTTCTCCAGCTCACCCCTGCCTCCCTCTGCATTAGCTTGTTCTCTCCAATTCCTACCAAGGTTAGGAGTACTGAGACCCTATTTTAACGGAGACATTTACAGCCATAAATTTCCCTCTGGCATCCCCTCACACCTCATACACTTTGTCGCTGATTTCTTCTTTTACCCTTTGGCCATGATGTTTGTGAATTTGTTTCCCTCCCATTACTGACATCAGCTCCATCCCATTGTGGTGAGAGAAGGCACTTTGATTTCAGTCTGACATAGGGACTTGTTTTCTGGCCAAGCATGTGGTCTGCTGGGAAGAGGAGTCTGGCTGGTTTTTGTGTAGTTGTGTAATGTGTGGTACACTTGTAGGAACACTGACTCACACTGAGGTGAAAACCCAGGGAGCCAGCACTCCACTGGGGACCAGACTGTCACCACCTGTGCTCTTCCTGACACCCCATCCCGTCCCCAAGGGGAAGCGCATGTAGGAATCCCATGGAATGCACAGCTGGTGCTGAGCCGAAGGCATCTGCTGAACCCACCCCTACCCCTCGTTCCCACACTTTGAGGAGCCGATGTCAGGGCTGCGGTGCCTGTGCCACTGCCCTGAGCCAGTCACTGCTCAGGCCTGTGTCCCTCCTGACGCTCCACACCCAAGGGCACTGCAGTGCAGCAGGCAGTGCCTCAGGCTGGGCCATGGAGTCTGCACCTGCTCTGCCCACCAACCCCCCAAAAAGGCCCGAGTGTGCACGTGTGCGTGATGGTGGCTTCGTAGAGAGCGCCCTGTGCAGGCCTATCCCTGCAGGCCTTGCTCCTCCCTGGGCAGGGCCTGGACCTCAACTTCAGGGGTCCCCTGTGGCGCCCCTGCAGGCAGACAAGCAGGTGGACATCTGGGCCCAAAAGGTCAACAAGGACGGACGGCACCTCCCTCCTCTGCCAGGAAGGGCTGGGCTCCCGTCTGGCCAGAGGCCCGGTGCCCACGGGAACCCGGTGCCGGAGGTGTCTCCAGCCATGACAACATCACACACAGAGCAGCTCGGGCTCAGCCAGCGTGGAAAGTTCCAGGGACAGGAAATCCCCGGCTGGACGGGGCGCTCGGTGCAAGGAAGACTTCAGGCCACGTGGGAATCCTTTAATGGGGGCAGCGTCCACCCAGCGCTGCCTGGGGAGGGGCTGTAAAACCGTGGAGCTGCGCGTTCGTGGGGCAAGGGGACTGGAAGATGAAGATGAGGCCGCCGCCGGGGAAGCACGGGGGACCGTCTGCACCGGGCGGGGGGCCGGGCCCAGGCTGCGCCCACGGCCCCTCTCCAGTGCTCAGGCCCCGTGCCAGGTGGAGGGCACGGGTGGAGTCTGTGGGTCAGATCCGGGAGGCAGGTTGGCGTGGTGGGCGGGACATGTATGCAGAGCAGCCCGAGGGGCGTGGAGCCGGCTGGCAGGACGGCAGGACGGGCGGGAGGGGCTCCCCCCCCAAACCTGCAGCTCCGGTTTGAAACTGCAGGGGAGCCAGGAGGAGGCGGGAGGGCTGGTGTGGCTGGCAGAGGCGGAGGCGCTGTCCACAGCGGTCCGCCTCGGGAGGGCGGGCGTTGGAGGGTCAGTTGTTCTCGAACAGGGAGAGCAGGTCCTCGTTGCTGTTGGTGGGCAGGTCGGGAGGGCCCAGGTAGGACAGCAGCTCGTCAGGGTTGGTCAGTTCTGGGAGCAGCTGAGGACAAAAGCAAACGGGCCTCAGAAACGCCCCACCCGCCCTGTCCACCAGCAACGCCCAGTGGGGGGGCGGGATGCGGGGACCCCTCCCGTACAAGCTCTGTGCAGAGGCAGCTCTGTGACAAGAATCAGGACACGCTGCCCCATGGCCAATACCGCCCCCCCCAGGTGGCGGCGGGAATGCTCCCGGCTCAGGGCCCACGGCCTGCCCGGGACCCGTGTGGCTTTATGCTTTGAGCCACTCTGGCTCTTTGTGTTTTACTGCGGCTGAGGGACAGCTCCCAGCCAGCCCCCTCCCGAGCGCACTGTACTCACGTCCAGGGCTGATGGTTCAGGGGCCTCCCCCGCCCCAGACATGGGGGGCCCCATGACGCCGGTGGCAGTGTGGAAGGCCAGCTCGCCGGCGGGGGCCCCACTCACTGGGCCCAGGGGCTGCCGGGCCGCGGGGGGAGGGTTGGGGTGGTGCAGCTGGGGGCCTGGGGGGCCTCCAAGGTTGGGGGTGTGCAGAGCGGCCGGCCCAGGGTTGTGAGCGGGATCCAGGTGAGCTGCAGGTGCCATCTGGGGAAGGAGAGAAGGCGCTGGGAAGATGCCAGGGCTCAGGAGGCAGCCCGCGGCCTCAGCCGGCACTCACCTGGCCCGGGAGGCTGGGCGTGGACTTCTCTGGAGTCAGGAGGCTGCTGGGAATGTCAGACTGGTAGGAGCCAGGGGGCGGCCCTGGCGTGAACTCGGGAAGGGTCGGCGTGCTGGGTGTGGTGGACGGGAAGGAGTCGGGGAAGGTCCCGGGTCCCAGGAAGCTGGAGCCTGAGAGAGGAGAGCGGGGTGTCGGGGGGGCCAGGCGGGGGATGTGGGCAGACGGCCCCGTGTTGAAACTGCTGGGAGGGTGGGTGCAGCTTCCGCTGGACACCCTGCTGCCCACCCCCTGGGAGAGCCAACCTGCACGACCAGCCCTCCCAGGCGTGGCCGAGGCTGCCCTCGGGGGCGGACTGGCTCGGAAAGCATGGCCATCGGCTCAGGGCCCCGTGTGCAGGCTGCCACGGCTGCACTCACCCTGGCTGGGGTAGTCGCCGGGAGCCGGGGCCGAGGGGGGCGGCAGGGGGGCGAGGGGGGCGGCCCCCGGGCCCAGGGCGGCGATCATCTCCATCACGCTGGGCAGCAGCGCGTGGGCGGGGCTCACGGTGCGGCAGCGCTTCAGCGCCGGCCCGTCCGGCTCCTCCTTGATGTGCAGGTCCGGCTTCACGGGCACCGGCTTCCAGCTGCACGTGGGGTCGATGGTGATCTCCTCGTAGTCGGAGCTGGCGGGACACGGAGTCACCACCCGGCCTGTGGCCCTGCGGCCGGGCAGGCTCTCGGCAGCTCTCCCCTCAAGTCACACTCCACGTGCCCAGGGCTGCCTGCCGGGTCACAGGCCCATCCCTCGGCCCCGACGAGTGTGGGGTGTGGGGTGTGGGGTGTGGGTCAGCAAGGGCCCACCCCACCCAGGGGCTGCCCCTGCCGGCCGGGCTGGGGGCCGAGGCCAGGAACTCACTTCTGGATGTAGATGAGGACGCCCAGCATGTACTGGTCCACCTCCAGGCCCTCCAGCAGGGCCGTCTTGCTGCAAAGCAAACAGGACGCAGCTCAGAGGCTGGCCAGCCTCGCCCTGGGCCAAGCCTGTCTTTTCTCAGCTCCACCCTTCCCTGCAGGAGTCTCCCGAGCTAGGCCCACGCATCCCCGAGGAGCGTCCTTGCCCGGCACGCCGGGCCTGTCTCTGGGACACTTACTTGCACACGGGGCACCGCCAGGTCCCCCGCTCACAGTTGAGCTGCAGGTAGGACTCCAGGTCGAAGCACTGGGGAGAGGGAGGGGGGAGGAGGTGATTCACACTGGCCGCGCCCAGCCACGCCCCTCCAGGGACACATTTCCTGTGTGTGGAAGCCCAGCGCACCAGGTTTTCGCTACCCAGGGTCCTAATGGGCCAAGCCTGGGGCAGCCACTGGCCCCACTGGGCCCGCCACCCCGGGGTGAAGCCAGAACTGCACTGGTGCCCGAGGTGCTGCCCGCAGCAGGGCCCAGGGCACGGGGGCAGGGCACGCGCTTGTCTGTGGAGAACCTGTGGGGCTCCTGGGCCTGAGGAGGGGCTGCCCCCAGCACAGTCCTCGGGGACCCAGGGGCAGGGACACCAGGCCCCCTGCTGGCTGCGGGAGAGCCGGCGTGACCCACCTGGATGTGGCGACAGTCGTGGCCACGGGCGGGGAGCTGGATCCTGCGGAAGGTGATGGGGCACTTGAGGGACACCTTGATGGCCGTCTGCTCCACCCCGTCCTCTCCGTGGGGCCCGGGGGTGCCGGGGATGGTGCCGCTGCTGAAGTTCCGCTTTACTGGGGCGACAGGGAGGCTGATGACAGGCCGATGACCAGGAGGCCCCGCCCAGGGCCCCACCCGGGAGACAGCTGTGCCCAGTCCAGCGGGCAGGGTGGGCGGCACTCACTCTTGGTGATGCAGTGCTCGGCAGGCAGCAGCCGCTTCTTGAGGAGGCCCTGCAGCACCGAGCGGACGGCCGGCCGGTGCACCAGCTGCAGCACGAACAGGTGGGACTGCAAGGGAGGGTGGGTCAGGGTGGTGTCAGAGGGTGTGGGCCTGGCTCCTGACTCTGACCCCCCAGCTCAGCCTCCTGCACAGCGAGTGAGTGCCCACTGGCGCTGGGACTGACGGAGCCACGGGGGTCGGAGGGCCTTTCTCGGGGGCAGAGGGCACTCACGCAGCAGCAGGCTGTGACGGTGATCTGGATGGTGTTGCGGCCAGGCTGGCACACGTGCTTCAGGTACAGGGGCTTGTGGGAGGTCTTGTTGTCGCCGCGCTCGATGGACAGCGGTGTGGCGTTGACGCTGACCTGCACCGAGGCCGGCCAGTTGGTGTTCATCTGCCGGTCCTCGTGGTGGTAGCACTTGAACTGCAGCTCCAGGTCAGGCCTGCGGGGAGGACGGCGCTGAGAGCTGGGCGCGGGCGCCGGGGCGCGGGGGCCGGGGGCACCCACCTCAGCATCAGGGTCTTGTAGACGGAGTCGCGGAGCTGGAAGGCGTGGTTGCTCACGGCCAGGTTGTGCTGCAGGCGGAAGGGCTCCAGGACCACGCCGTCCCGCACGGGGAAGGTCAGCCGGAGCTCGTCGCCCGGGCCGCTGCCTGGGAGCAGCCGGTGTCAGCAGCTCCCCTCCGCCCACCCCTCCCCCTTGCCCGCCTCCACCCCAGGAAGCAGGGGTGGCGGGGAGCGCAGCCCACCCCTCCGCTGGCTGGGCCTGGGCGGTGTCTCCTGGAACCCGATGTGCCAGGATGGACCTGTGGTCCCGCCCTCCCCGGCCACTGGCCGTCATCCCTCCATGATGGCTTAGAGCAGCCCTGCCCAGACTCAGCGAGGTGCTCTCAGCGGTGGGCACTGAGGGCTCGTGGGCACCTGCCAGCCATCTCTGGGTGCTCCAATGAGGTTGCGGGACCCAGCCACAGGGCTCTGACCCCGGAGTGGCGTTAGGAACTTCCTCAGCGACCTGCAGGGCCCTGCCCTCCACTGTCCCAGGACCAGGCGCCACTCACCAGGGGGGGATGGGTGCAGGGAGCTCACGCTGGGCTTGAGGTCAGGCAGGAAGGGGGACTTCACGTCCTGGCTGGTGGCCATGTAGGGGACGCAGCTGCCGGGGGTCATGGGCGGCGTGGGGCTCCCTGGCAGTGGGGAGCTGGGGTAGCCAGGGACGGAACGGGCGGGCTGTGGGACAGAGCAGACAGTCAAGGCAGAATGGGGGGCTGCCGTGTTCCTGAGCTCCCGCGGGGAACGGCCGGGCAGCCAGGGAGCCTCGGTGCCCTCTCCCGCGCCCCCTGAGAGCCTCCCGCCGCCGTGGCCACCGTACCCCACTCAGGCCCGCCTGCCCGTAGCTGATGCTCCCTGCGCTGAAGCCGGTGCTCTGCCCGTTGAACTGATCTGTGGGCTGAGAGAGACCACGTGGTGGGGCTGCAGCCTGGCCCCCTGCCGGCCCCAGAGTGCCGGGGGCACGGTGCCAGAGGCCGTGCGGGGGGCCCTGCACTCAGGGCCAGGAGGCTGTGGCTGCGGGGTCACCTCCCCAGCCCACCCAGACGTCTGTGTCCCCCCAGGAACGGGGGGCTGCTGCAGGCCCAGGAGGCTGGCCTACCTTGTAGTGCAGGCCCGGGGGGCCTGCGGTGGGCAGGGGCAGCCTGTGACCAGGGTAGGAAGAGGGGGCAGGGGGCTGCCCGGGGGCATACTGGGTTGTGCTGGGTGAGTACTGGCCTCCCGCCAGGTACTGCTGCGCTGAGTATACCTGAGGAAGAAGAGGCAGATGCCCGGGGAGGAGCAGTCAGGAGGCCAGCTCCCAGGAGGACAGCAGTGCCCACAGCCAGGCCTCTCACACGGACATCCGGCTCTGGGCTCTGGGGGCACTCACCTCGCTGGAGTAGGCTCTCTTGACTCCTTGTCGGGGCAGCGGCTGGGCCTGCAGAGCCCCGGGGTACCCGTGCTGGGGCGGGCGCTGCCCTGCATACAGGGGGGCCATGCCCACCGCTCGGGTGGGGGTCATGCCCATGGGGCTCAGGCCGGAGGGGCCTATCAGCCCCCCCACGCCGGCAGGGTTCAGGCTGCCGGGAGCGCCGGGCCCCCGGGGCCCTCCGTGCTGCAGGAACTGGCTGCCGAAAGCCTGCCCGGCCCCCATCTGGAAGAAAAGAGGCACATCCAGGCCGGGCCCCCATGGCGGGTGCCCGGTCCGTCCCTCAGCGCTCCTCCTGCCGCCACCTCCCTCCCGGGGCTTGGGCCTCCCCGCTCCCCACGGTGTGCACATCCTGCAGGCAGCCCGAGCCGGGCTCTAACCATCCCACACCCCGAGCAGCGGGCCTGGGGCGGGCGGCCTCACCGCTCCGTACTGGCTCAGCTCCTGGCTCTGCTTCTCCTGAAGGGCGGCCACCGTGGCCGTGGCTGTGGCGGTGGCGGTAGCAGCGGCAGCGGCCATGGCGGCAGCTGCTGCTGCTTGAGTGAAGTCTGTGGAGGGCCGTGTGGCATGGGAGGGGAGGCCCAGGCCCCCAGGCCCCCCTGCGTACCTGCGGGAGACGGACAGGATGGCTCAGAGGGCCTCGCCTGTGGCCCAGGGTGGGCACAGACCACGGCCCCTTCCCGGGGCCCGGACACGTGGGGTCTGCTCACCCGGTGGAGAAGCCGGGGCCCCCGGGGTAGCTGCCGCGGCCGTACACCGCCTGCTGCACGTAGCCCTTGCTGGCGCCGCCCTCCCCGAACGCCTGCTGTCCCAGGCACTGCGGGGAGCTCAGGGCCGAGCTGCCGCCGGCCATGCCCGGCATCATGGAGCTGCCAGGGGGGCTCCCAGCCGGACCCATGGGGCTCCCCAGAACCTGCAAGGAAGCCAGCGTCACGAGGGAACCATGCAGACACTGTTTCCCAGAGCGGCTCTAGGAGAGGCCTGGGGGGCGGTGAGGTGATGGGGGCTCAGGGGGGCCCAGGGGGTGGTGGAGGCCGGGAGGAAGTCAGCAGGTGCAGGGAGACCAGCTCCAGCCTGAGGTCCCGGGGGCTCACCTGGCTCTGGGCCGCGTTGCCCACTCCCCACACGGTTGTGACCACGGACAGCGATCCTGCGGGCTGGGGGGCGCTCTGCTGCCAAGGCACCGCCTCATAAGCGAAGGGACCATCACTGTGGGGACAGGGCGGGTGGGGCTGGAGTCTCAGGTGCCAGCGCCACTGGGAGAACGGGAGGCTGGGAGCAGGGCGGCAGGAGCCCTACTCACCTGTGTGGCGCAGAGGGCAGGGCAGGTTTAATGGGGTTCATGGGGTTCATTGGCTTGGGAGCAGCCGGGAGGCCAGGTCTGTGGGTGGCAGGAAGCAGCCCTCACCGGTGCTGATGTGGGACTCAGCTGCTCTGGCTGGTGGGACAGAGGGAAGGACATCTGTGGAGAGGCAGCTGGGAGACCCGGGAGCAGTTGGGGTCAAGGGACAAGGTTCAGGGTGCAGGGTTTGGGGCCAGGGGACAAGGTTCAGGGTGCAGAGTTTGGGGTCTGGATGATGGAGGGCAGGGGAGGTGAGACTGGAATACCAGGGCCACTCGGGGGGGTCAGGGCAGCGAGCCCAAGCCCAGCCCAGAGCACCATGAGCCCTTTCTGGCCAGGCCCTGCCCCCCAGAGACCTGGACCAGCTCTGGAAGCAGGCCTTCTGACCCCCAATATTTCCCTCGGGGCCTGGACAGTCACAGAGGCAGAGACTATCCAGAGTCCCAGAGGCCTGAGGTGGAGGCTGGGGTCAGCCTGGCCTGGGGCACCGTGTGGGGCCATCACTTATAAGGTCTGTCCCCCACCCCTGCTTCCCTCAGGGCAGCAGCAGGCAATCATGCCTCACTCCGAGGCCAAGGGGACTGAACGGTGGGGGACCGGGCACAAGGACCCTGAGCTCCCACAGGACAGACACACAGCACTCGGGTAGGAGGCTGGTGGTGCCCGTGGACATGGAAGGGACAATGCAGACACGGCCGCGCGGCTGGCAGAGCCTGGGCCATGCAGGGCTCCCTCTCCCATTCAGTGCCTCAGGCTGGCCTGTCCTCCTGGCTGCCCGTGTTCCGATACCCCAGCCAGCCTCGCTGACAGGCCTAGGCCCATTCTGGCCTCCAAGCCCCTCCATGCCCACCTGCCTGCCTAACCTCAGAGCCTTGCACTTGGGCTGTGTTTTCAGTCTCTTGGGCGGCACCTTCTTGGGGTTGAGGGTCAGGTGTGAAGCCCCAGTGCGTTTTCGGGTGCAAGGCCACACACTCAGGCCTCCGGGGACAGGCCACACTCCTGGTGCCTCCCTCTGGCCCAGGGGAAGAGGCCCAGCATCCACCCAACCCCAGGCTCACATTCCTGAGTGCCGACCAGCAGGCTGCCCGCGGAGACAGGCTACCATCCTGTCCTCCGCAAACAGAGTGCGTGGGGGCACGGTGGGGAGGGGGGTCCCCGGGAGACTGGGCCTGTCCCTACTCGGACTCAGGTCTCTCCTGCCTCACCCTCGCCCTCACCCCCCATCTGGGTTCCACCTGGGAAGCAGAGGCTGGACAGGGATCCAGGGTCACCGGCCGAATGGGAACCTGGGGTGGGAACCTGCCAGAAACACTCCTCAGACCTGGGTGGGGCCTGCAGCGGGAGGGGGGTGTTCCCAGCAGCTAAGTCAGGCTGTGGTGCTGGCAGGGTCAGTGCACAGGCAACGGCAGAGACCAGAGAACCCAAACGCCCCACACAAATACCCCCACAGACTTCCGACCAGGTCCAGCGGGAGAAGCCTCAACCCAACCTCTCCAGAAACACCCGGGACAGGTCCCCGACCCAGACGCACACACAAACGGGAAGCCCTTTAGGGACAACCAGGAGGGACCTCTGTGACTAGGCCGAGGAAAGCACTCTTATATACGACCCACAGAGGGGCGAACTGAGAGGCCGAGGACGGAAACCAGCTCCAGCTGGGAGACAGCTGTGAGCCACACACCGACAGGACGGCCCGGAGCAGCCACCAGACAAGTCCCGCCAGGAAGAGGGCAGACAGGAGCGTCCCACCAGAGGCCGTGCCGCGGCCCCGACACAGGACGACACGCAGCAGCACCGTGACGTCACGGCACACCTGCCCGTGCCCAGTGAAGCGGGGGACACGGGATCTCCCCCGGCACGGCTGCACGTCCCTCTGACCCAGCAGCTCCCTCCGATGGCTTATCGCAGAGAAACATCGGGGTGTTCCAGTAAAATCTGTGGGTGACACTTAAGGTGCTTTCCTCCCAACCACCAGAGAAGGGAAACCCAGACGCCCTCCAGGCTAACGACGAACAGGGGTGAGCACCCACAGCCGGAGGCCTAGCCCCAGCCTGCGGGATCGCGGATGCTGCTGCGTGGAAAAAGCCAGTCCCCACAGGCTACACACTGCACGGCTCCTTCACAGATCCTCCCCGAAACAACGAATACAGACTGTCCGCGAGAGGTGAGGCGGGGAGGGCTGCAGGGGGGGTATCTGCCTCAGCTGTGCCCTGTGGGGACGCAGGTGATGGTGCACCGGCTGTTATTTCTACCGCGGGATAGGAGTCTCGAGTTCTCACAAAGTAAAGACTTACTAAGACCAGCAGCCCTCTCTCCAGAGGCCCCGGCAGTCCTCCCACACCTGAACTGCTGGGGCTGTGGACCCCCTCTGCCCTCCTGGGAGCAAACAGATGGGGGAGGCCAGGAGGACCAGGCCCCAGGCAGGTGCAGGGCCGCCCCACACCACAAGGTCTGGGGAATTCCACCCCCAGGCTCCTCTGCCGTGGATGGACCACAGACATTTCCAGTTCCCCAGAGCTCACTTCACAGGCGGGGGCGGGGACTTCCTGCCGGCCAGGCTCCTGAGCGAGTCTGCTCTCCCCAGAAGCCTCCACAGGTACCCGGGCCTCCGCACGCCCGGCCCGGCAGGGAGCTGGGAAGGAGCCGCGGTGCCAGGCCCGTGCCTGCCTGTGCCAATTCCGGCGGGAAGCCAGGACCCCTGGGCAGACCACCCGGCTTTCTGGGGTCACATCACATCTCCCTCCAGAAAAAGAGCTCCAGACAACCCACTACCCAGACCCTCTGCCCCAGAGCCTCACAGCAGCTGCACCGTCCTCTGCGGGCCAACCCCTTACCATCCTCCACTCCACTTTTGCCTGGCCACCCTGACCCTGGCGGCGAGCCCCTCTCCTGGCACAGGCCACCCCAGAGGGTCATGGGGTCAAACAGGCCGGGCCCCCGTGGAGCAGGACTAGCTGCTCAGGGGCTGGACATCCTGCCCTCTCGACCCGCCAGGCCACAGAACTGCCAGTCTGTCCAGAACGCCCAGAACAAGGGCTGCGGGTGGCCAGGGACGGGTGAAGGGGGTCACCCTCTGAGTCTGTTTACATGTAAGATGGGGACGCGGTGGGCAGCCTAGGACGGAGGAGAGGGAAGGACCTGTGGCACCTGTGTCATCAGCCGGCTCCTGCCTGGACACAGGAGCTGGTGGACATTCCGCGGGAGCCCTGGCGCTCTGGCCATGGAGCCGCGATGAGACCTCCTCCCCCAGCATCTTCCCCGATTCCTATTCCCACCTGTGGCCGCCGGGGGTGGGACAAGTGCCCGGCAGCACCGGAGGCTGGGCTGACTCCCTCTGGGGTGCTGTCACCTTCCGGCTTCCTCAAGAAGGCCCCCTGGTGCTGGCCGGCAGGATTGGGAGGGAGGGTGTCTACCCCACTGACCACCCGCCTGTGTACCCAGCCAGGGGTTCCATGTCTTCCCTGCAAGGTCTCCTGAGAGAACAAATGACGGACATCACCTGGATGTCTGCAGCCATCAGTCAGGGAGGAGGGCACGGGCACCGGTGAGGGACACCCGGTGCGGGGGCAGGAAGGTGGGCGGAGGTCGGGGGACAGCAGGTCAGGGTGGGAGGGAAGCCGTGGAGGACGGAGCAGAGGGGGAGGTCAGGGAGCAGGCGGCCACAACAATGCAGAGGGGCAGGTCAGAGGGAACCAGACCCCCGGGGGAGGGACACCTCCGCAGAGCCTCCTGGTGCCGGGAGAAAGGGGTGAGCCCAGGGCCGACGGCTGGGAGGAAGGTCAGCGCCGCCGGCGGCCTCCCCGGCGGTGGGCGCGCTCGACCCAGGGAGCCCGCCAGGCCGGTCGGAGCGCCGGCCCCAGGCCAGGGCGGCGGGGCGGGCAGCCTCCCGCCGCCGCCGAGGCCCAGGCGAGGGTCCGCGCACCGGCCGCCGGGACCGCGACGCAAGCGCAGGCCGCTCCGCCCGGGCCCCGCCGAGGCGCCGCCGCCCGCACCTGCCGCACCTGCCCCCGCCCCGCCCCGCGCGCGGCCCGCTCACCTCTGCGCGGCCGGGCCCGGCCCCTCGCCGCCGCGGCCCCCGGCCCGCGCCGCTCCATGCGCTCAGCCCGCCCTGCGCGCCGCCCGCCGCCCCGGCCCCGCCGCCCGCGCCATCGCGCCGCTCCCAGGGCACAATGGAGCCGCCTCATGCATATGCATGACGCCGCGGCCCCGCCCCCAGGCCAGAGCAGCCGAGCCCCGAGCCGCGCTCGGGCGGGGCCGCGCGCAGGCACAGGGCCGCGGGGACGGCGGGCGGGCGGACCGGGGCGACCTGCGATCCCGCCCGGTCCACACCTTTCCAGGCGCCGCGTCCGCGGAGCCACCGCGCTCCCTGCGCGCTCTGCCGGGCGGGGCGGGGCCGGGATGGCGGGGGCCGGGGCGGGACAGGGCGGAGGAGGGGGAGGGCGGGGCTTCCGGGTCGGGGGGCGGGAGGAGTGACTGGTAGGTGGAGCCAATGCGCGGAGGCGGTGTCAGGCTGGCGAGGCGGGGGTGTGGCCGGACGGATGACGTAGGGGGCGGGGCCTGTTGGGCGGGGACGGGAGGCCCGGACGTCAGTAGGGAGGCGGGGCCTGCACGGCGGAACAGGAGGGCGTGGCCTGTGGGGCAGGGAGGCGGGGTCGGGAGGTGACGGGTGTCCTCGGGCCTTTCCGGGAGGCGGGCGGGTCACTGGCGAACCGAGCCACCGAACTTCCCGCTGGGCCCCTCGCTCTCTTTTTTTTTTTTTTTTTCTTAAACTGTCTCCTTTATTCATTCATTTATAGTTGAGTATGAAATAGCTGGGCACCCACACACACGCGGCCTGAGAGGGTGCTGGGTCAAGGTCACTTGGCAACTGGGCTGGACCCCAGACCCTCAGGAGGGGGACCCCAGCTGGACACCCCCCAAAGCCCCGCCCAGGGTCTGTGGGAGGCGCAGGGGTCTCGTGTGATAGGGCCTCGTGGGAATGTCACCAGAGAGACGAGACCCCAGAACTCCCGGCCAGGGAAGTGCAGGGCCTGGGGCGTGGGGCGGGGCAAAGGTGCTGGCCACCCAACCACAGGGGCGGGGGGCGGGCGGTGCCTCAGGGTCCCCAACGCAGCCCCGCTGGGAAGGGGTGAAGGTCCCCCACCTGCCCCGGCCTGGCTCCATCTGGCTCTCCCGCCCTCTCCTCTCCGGACATACATATAATATAGAATATAGGCCTCTCTCTAGTTCTTTCCTCCTTGCTTTCTATTCGACTCTATATCTTTATTCAAGGAGATAAAACTCCATCTTTTTTTTCTCAGTGCAAATGGGGGCGGGTGGGGCCTGTCTCCCTGGCACCAGCTCCTGGGAGTCCAGAGGTGAGAGTGGGGTGGGGGTAAGATGGGATGGGCTGATGGGGCAACAGGCCTTCACGGGACCCACCCTGATCCCGTCAGGGCAGGATCCACGCAGTGGACAAGGGTTTGGCCGCCATCACCAGAACCAGGCAGCTACTGGGTGCCTGGGGACGCCGGGCCTCCCTGGGCAGAGCCGTTGGGCACTGGAGGCAGCTGGAGGGCCTGGACACCCATCGGCTCTGGGCTCTTCTCCTTCTCCATGGTCTGTGGGCCCCTGGCTCTTCCCTCTTCCCGAGCTGCCCCCCTGGACCGGCTCTGTGTTCCAGCCAATGACGCATTTGCTCAGTTTGCACCTTTCACGTGCCGTTATCACCCTTTCAGCTTCCTCTACTTTTCCTCCCCTCCTTTAGGAAGACCACTTTGTCGTGATCACCCTCGGCTTTTAAAAAAATGTCTTTATTGAAGGGAAAGGGAGAAACATCAATGACGAGAGAGAATCATGGATCGGCTGCCTCCTGCACGCCCCCTACAAGGGATTGAGCCCGTAACCCAGGCATGTGCCCTTGACTGGAATCGAACCCAGGACCTTTCTGTTTGTAGACCAACCCTCTATGTTGTAACATGTGTATTTCATTCCATTTTATGGCTGTGTAATAGTCCATTATATGGGTAGACCGCACATTTTATTTTTTAAATATTATATATATACACACACACACACACACACACACACACATATGGTATTTACAGAGAGGAAGAGAAATAGAAACATTGATGAGAGAGAAACATTAATCAGCTGCCTCCTGTACACACACACATCCCCTATTGGGAATGTGCCCGCAACCAAGGTACATGCCCTTGACTGGAATTGAACCTGGGACTCTTGAGTCCGCAGGCCGATGCTTTATCCACTGAGCCAAACAGGTCAGGGCTAGACCACATATTTTAAAATAGGAGAGTTGGGAAAGCGCTTAAACTTTTTTTTGATTGATCTTAGAGAAAGGAAGGAGGGAAGAAAGGAAGAGAGAGATTTGTTATTCCACTTATTTATGCATTTGTTGGTTAATTCTTGTGTGTCCCAACTGAGGATTGACCTCTTTGTGTAGCAAAGATGCTCTAACTGGCCAGGGCTAGGCCACGTCTTTATTTTTAAAGTGTTTTATTATTTTTTAATATTTGATTTTTTACAGAGAGGAAGGGAGAGGGAGAGTTAGAAACCTCGATGAGAAAGAAACATCGATCAGGTGCCTCCTGCACACCCCCTACTAGGGATGTGCCTGGAACCAAAGCACATGCCCTTAACCAGAATCGAACCAAAGACCCTTCAGTCCGCAGGCCAACGCTCTGTCCACAGAACCAAACCTGTTTCGGCTATTTTTATTTTTTAAAATACATTTTTAAGTGAGGGAGAGGGAGAAAGAGAAACATCAATGATGAGAATCATTGATTGGCTGCCACCTGCATGCCCCCGACTGGGGATCAAGCCTGCAGCCCAGGCACATGCCTTTGCCTGCAACTGAACCCGGGACCCTTCAGTCTGCAGACTGATGCTCTACCCACTGAGCCAAACCAGCCAAGGCCAACATTGTCTTCTTAAGTTATTGAGGGGATGCCTGGCTGGCGTGGCTCAGTGGTTGAGTGTCTACCTATGAGGCCACTGTTTGATTCTCGGTAAGAGCACATGCCCAGGTTGCGAGTTTGATCCTGTGTGGGGTGTGTAGGAGGCAGTTGATCAATGATTCTGTCACTCCTCCTCCTCTCTGAAATAAATTTTAAAAATTTAAAATATTGAGAAGAGGGATTTCGACTTCCAGGATCCCTAACTGGGACCAAATGCAGGCCCTGGGCACACCTGCACATGGCTGCCCTCATGCCAGGACTGGAGGGCTGTCGGGCAAGCTGCAGGGAGCACTCAAGGTAAAATAGACTCTGAAGAGGCTTCCAGGACAAGGGACTCAGGTGTGGCCTAGAGGGTGGGGTGACCATCAGGAGTTCCTGCTACTGGAAGGACCCCATGTCCACGCCAGGCCTTTCCCTGAGCTCTCCCTCAGGGCTGTCCCCTGGAGGCTAAGGCTGACCAGTTGTGAGTTCAAGACTGGTCCTCTTGTCAAGAGGGGACCCTGGCCCCGTGGGGATGGGGACCCTGCTGGTGTACCCGCTCCCCTGAGGGTCGCTTGAACTGGCTTCTGGGCGGGGATGCCAACTAACAGATCCAGGGGACCCACCAGACCACGCAGGGGGACCGGATGGGAGGCTCAGAACGTGGACCCGGCATGATGTGCATGGATGGCAGGCAGGCTGGGCAGGGGGAGGGGTGGTCTGTGGGCACATGGGCATAGGTGTGGCGGCAAGGGGCAGGGTGGAGGCCGAGGCCTTGGGAGAAGGCGGCGGAAAGAAAGACTCGCAGACAGATTCATGGATAACTTAGTTTACAAGTCAAGCCAAATGCAACGCAAAGTGTTTTCACCCTTTTTTTTTTTTTAAACCAAAATAAATAAATCAGATCTGTCCCTGTGACAGGTGCGGGGGGAGGCCCCGCCTCGCCCCCGAACAGCTTTGGCACAGCAGAGAGAGGATTCCCAGTTGGTCTCCGCGGTGCGGACGGGGCCAGGTGAGAAGATGGGGCGGTGCGGGGCCGAGGGAAGGTGGCAGGAGCTGGACGTCAGCCCGTGGCCGCCCTGGCTGTGGGCATTGGAGCTTCTGACCCCCCTTCTCTGGCCACGCCCACCAGACCCTCTGAGAAGTGCAGTGGACACGGGAGCGGGCGGCCCTCTGTCAGGTCAGGGTCAGGCCCCATCAGCCGCCCGCCCACTCCACTGGGCCTCTGAGGGCGACGGCTCCTGCCAGGTGTCAACCAGGAAGAGGACCCCCTGATGGGCGGAAAGCCCCAGGCCTGTTCCTGGGTGGAGCTGGGGTGCAGCTGGCCGACCCTCCCAGGAACCTGGGGGCGCCCTCCCCAAGCTCCCACTGCCTCTAAAGGCTGCTCAGTGGAAAAGCTCGGAGCCAGGACCAGCCCTGCGAGGACAGCAGTGGCGACGAAGGGGCGAGGAGTGTGGGCACGCGGAGGCGTGGGCACGCGGAGGGAGGCACTATGTATTTTTAATCGAGAAGCGGGGGCAATGGTGGACAGGGCTGGGGCCCGGCGGCCAGGCAGCATCTACGAGAAGTTCTTGAAGGCGTCCAGGTCGAAGGCTGTGTCCAGCAGGCGCTGCAGCTCTGTGAGGTGGGTCTTCTTGTTGCCGGTGGCTGGTGCTGCCGCGGGGTCCCGGCCGGCGTACCTGGGGGGACAGAGCAGTGAGGCAAGGCCACCGGGGCCCGGACCCCCTGCCCCCTGCCCGACGCAGGCGGCGCCTACCACACGGGCTTGGCGCGGCTGATGGTGGTGCGCAGCCGTGGCTTCACGTAGTCGTAGTAGCCCTGGTTCTTGTGCTCCTCCTGACACCAGGCCAGCTCGGCGTTGGGGTACTTCTGCACCTCCTGCAGCAGCAGGTCGAAGGGGAACGGCGACAGCTGGGGAGAGGGGCTTGTCAGGACGCTCGGGCAGCCACCAGGCTGGCGCCAGAGGGGTGTGCCCACGCCGGCGGCCGCTCCCGGCCCTCACCTGCTCGATCCTCGTGATGGCCACCTGCTCCACCATGTCCCGCACTTTGCGCTCGCGCGTGAGGTCGTAGTACACCTTGCCGGTGCAGAACAGGAGCCTCTTCACGTTTTCTGGGTTCTGGGCTGCAGGGCCGTTTTCCGGGATCACCCGCTGGAAGTGGGTCCCTAAGAGAGAACCGGGCGTGGCTACGGACACCTGTGTGCGCCAGTGTGAGCGCGGAATCACACCGCATGGTGGCAGCGCTGCCGCCACAAGCCCCTCGGCCTCCGGTGCCCGTGAGCTTTCCAGCCCGGAGGCCCACGCGGGAGCAGCTGCTTCCATGCAGGAGCTCAGCACGTTTCCCTGCCGCTGAGGCCCTGGGAGGCTCCAGGCCACGGCGCAGAGCCGGGCAGCCGTGTGGCACGCAAGCTCACATGTCTGGGCTGTCCTGTTTGGGGTCTTTACCCAGCGACGCTGAAGTGCACGGGCTGCATGGAGGCAGCGTGGGCCCCAACCCCAAAGCACAGAATGCCTGCCTGCCTGCACCCACCTGGGAGCATCTCGTCAAAGCTGGTCCTGGCCTCGGGGTGCCGCAGCAGGGACTTGGGGGTGAAGACGATCAGCTGAAACACAGGACCACAGGCTCAGAATGGACCAGGACCGCAGGTCCCAGGAGGGTCAACCAGAGGGGCTGCCCTCCCAGCTCTGCGGTCAGGACCGGCCACAGGTCAGGAGCGTGACGAAGGGAATGCATGAGGCAGCTCCCTGCCCACCTCTCCTCTGCTGAGCCAGGTGCCTGCCCGAGTCCCAGTCACCCCCTCTTCCAGGAAAAGGCCCTCCCGCCCGGCGTGCTGCCTGTGGCCGATGTCCGTGCTGTGGGCCGCGCAACCGTGCATTCAACCTGCAGCAGCAGCAGAGGTGCTCTCCTCCCTCGGGCTCCCTCCCAGCTCCGTGCACCTCCCACGCCAACCCGCTGGCCAGGCCCTGCCGGGAGCCCACTGACCGGCTTCCGGAAGGGCAGGAGGATCTGGCGGCGCAGCACGTGGAAGAAGTTGCCAGGCGAGGAGCAGTTCACCACTACCCAGTTGCAGTCATAGAGCTGGGTTATGTCGAAGTTTTCCTCCTGAAGGTTCTGCGGGAGGACAGGCGCTCAGGATGCAAGGGAGCTCCTGCCCGTCCCCACGCCGCCCCGTCCCCACGCCGCCCCGTCCCCGCTCCTGCCCGTCCCCATGCCGCCCTTGGCTGCTGACAAGGCTGCCTGGCCAGGAAGCCAGGCCCCACCTCCACCCACCCTCCTCCCAACAAGGCTGACTCCTGTCATTCAAGTCCGGTCAGAGGCTCATTCCTTAGGGCCCTGCCTGCCTCGGACACAGAGCGGCCCCCACGGCTCCGAGCCCTCGGGAGCCTCACGGAGACCCGCCCCGGGCCTGGCACCCGCCCCAGGGCGGCCCTCACCGGCAGGACGTCGGGGTCGTCGTTGCACATCTGCAGGAACCGCTCGGGCCTGGCGGAGGAGTGCTCTGGGCCCTGGAAGCAGGTGCGGGTCAGCCCCATTTCCGCCCCCACACCCCCGGGGCCCTCCTGCTGGCAGCCCCCCGCCCCCTGCCAGGGCACAGGGTGGGGCGGAGCTCACCATGCCCTCCATGCCGTGGGGCAGCAGCAGCACGATGCCGTTCTGCCGCACCCACTTGGCCTGCCCGGGGCAGATGAACTGGTCGATGATGCACTGGGCCGTGTTGTGGAAGTCGCCAAACTGGGCCTCCCAGAGCACCAGGGCGTTGGGGCTGGCCATGGCGAAGCCCAGCTCGAAGCCTGTGGGCGGGAAGGGCGTCAGGAGGGAAGGGGGCGGGGCAGCGGGCAGGACGGGCCACAGGGAGGAGTAGTAGCAGGGAGGAGGGGCAGGGGCCTTGCTCACCTAGGACCCCGTACTCAGACAGCGAGCTGTTGCACACCGTGTAGGGGGCCTGGTTGGGCCACAGGTGGTTCATGGGGATGCAGGTCTTCTTGTCCACGTTCTGGTCATGCAGCACGTGGTGGCGGTGGCTGTGCCGACAACACAGGTGAGCAGGCAGGGCCACTGCCTCTGCTCAGCAGCAGACCCCACACCCGGCCTAACAGGAGGGCCACACGGAAGGGGGGCAGCACGGGGGGGGGGGGATGAGGCAGGGGACGAGGTGGGGGTAGGGGGATAACAGGCAGGAGGTGAAGTGGGAGAGGGAGGGAGGGGGGCAGCACAGGCAGGGGGTGAGGCGGGGGGTAGGAGGGGCAGCATCGGCAGGGGAGCGTGCGCTGGGCTGAGATGGGCCCTGTGGCCGTGCCATGTTTTCCTGAGAGAAGCAGTGACCACCCCCCCTGAGGGCCGGAGCTCACCTGAAGGTGCCCCGCTCCACGTCCTGGCCGCTCAGCCGGATGTGGATGCCCTCCTTCAGCAGGGAGCCGAACGCCATGTACTCCGCCAGGGCCCAGTCCACAGTCCTGTTCTTCACCAGCTCTCCACGCGTCTTCAGGATCCGGCTCAGTCCTGCAGACACGGTGCTCACCACCCGCCCGGCCGCCCACGACAGGAGCAGCCTCCGGGACACCGGGCCCAGGAGAGGCCGTCACGGCCCCGCCTTCTTCCACGCTCCAGCGAGGACCACCCTGGCCGGGGCGAGGGCTTCCAGCCGGTAACCCCCCGCCGCCTGCCCCGGGGCCTGACCCACCTCCGGCGGCCACGCGCCCTCACCTCCATGGATGGTGAAGTTCTCCACCGGCACGGAGCTGGCCACGCTGCCGATGTGCGTCAGGATGTCCTCCTCCAGCCCCGTGGAGGGGCAGGTCATGCTCCGGGGCTGTCCGTCCAGCGTGAAGAAGCCTAGGACAGAGGCACGCTGACGCCACCGCCCGGGCTCCTGAGCGCTCCGGGCCGTGGTGCTGGGCCCGTGGCGATGCCTCACTCACCAGGCCAGGGCGAGTCCAGCCAGTGCTTGATGTGCAGGATCTTCTCGTCCTTGGAGCGGGCGAAGGCCTCCTCGCAGATCTTGTCGTACTTGGAGATCTCCTCCTGGAGGGCGGGAGGGCAGGCGGGCGCCGTGTTGGGGGCGGCAGGCAGAGCCGGCCTTGACATTCCCCACACACATACCCTCTCCGGTCCGTGCTGCCCACAGTCCCTTCTCCACACGTGGGCAGATCCTGCCACTCTCCCTCCTGCTCCAAGGTCCTGCTCTCATGCCAGGATGGAGCTCTCAGCAACCCCACTCCCACATCTGCCATGTGCTGCTCTGGGCCAGACTCCTCACCTCCTCCTGAGCACCCGGGACCCACCATGTACACAGCCCTCCCCACCCACAGCTGGACCTGCACCCGCCTCTCACTCACCCTGCCACAAAATTGCCAGTTAGAAAGTGGGTGGGGCCATGGCCCCCGTGGAGCGCCCACCCACACGGAGTCCTCAGGCAGGCCGCCCTGCCCGTCCCCAAAAGCCCCTGCTCGCAAACCCGCAGGCGAGCCACCGCAGGCACCACACCTCGTACTCGGGCTGGTTGACCACGCCCTGCGACACCAGCAGCTCCGCGTACTTCTGCAGCACCGGCTTCTGCTTGCGGATCTGCTTGTACATGAGCGGCTGCGTGAACATGGGCTCGTCCATCTCGTTGTGGCCGTTGCGCCGGTAACACACCTGGGGACAGCCGGGCGCCAGCGTTAGGTTCTGCACAGGACCGAGTCCCTGCCACAACTGATGTCGCGGGTGGGACACTCAGGCTCCAGAGCCCAAGCCCTGGGGGCCACTCACCAGGTCCACCACCACGTCCTTGTGGAAGGTGTTCCTCCACTCGGCAGCCACCTGGCACACGTACATGACGGCCTCCGGGTCGTCCGAGTTCACGTGGAAGATGGGGGCGTTCACGACCCGGGCCACGTCGGTGGGGTAGGGTGAGGACCGGGCCATGCGGGGGTCCGTGGTGAAGCCAATCTGCGAGGGACACAGGCTGCTGGGCTGGTGTGGGATGGCGGGGGACGGGGGGACAGGGCGGGGCGGGCCACGCAGCTAGAAGCCAGAGGCCTTGGCGGCCGCTCCGTTACCTGGTTGTTGACCACCACGTGCACGGTGCCGTGGGTGGTGTAGGACGGCAGGTCGCTCAGGTGGAAGGTCTCGTACACGATGCCCTGGCCAGCGAACGCGGCATCCCCGTGCAGCAGGATGGCCATGACCTGCGGACCGCAGACCACAGAGCCAGTGGGCAAACCGGAGGGCAAGCCACAGCAGCTTTTCACCAGGTTTTCTGAGGCCCCTCCAAGGTGAGAGGGCGGGGGCAGAGCCGCTCTCCAACACCTCGCCTTCCCACGTCCTGAGGGGTCCTGGGTCCTGAGGGTCCCTCCTGACTAGACTCCCAACTGCGCGCTCCACACCAGGACACGCCTGCGCTGGCCGCCCCACGCCCTGGTTCGCTCTGATTGCCAGCGCCCTTGGAGAACAGTGCAGAGCGTGGGGAGCCTGCATCCTGTTCCTCAGCCCCTTCCGCTGCACGGGAGGCGGCTGCCCACTTGGTGACATCCTCCCCCAGGCTTCCCTTCCTCTGGGCAGGCATCCGTCCGAGCAGGGACCGGTCCTGCTGCCCATCAGCAGCTTCTCTCCTGATACCCAAGCCCAGACGCACGGACTCGGTCTGCGAGGCACACCCTGCGCACTGACCTGGTCCCACTTCTAGGTCTGACCCTCATGCCCACCTTCCACCTGCAGAGACCTCCCTCCGCCCACCTGCCGTTCTGCAGACTAAGGACTCCTGCTCGGTGGAGGGCGCTTGCCCTCACTCCACGTCCGCCCGCACACAGCTCGCCCGCCCAGCTGGGCAATGCACCAGCAAACCCCCCCGCACCCCCCCCCAGTGCTCCTAGCTTCTTTTCTCCCACGACCTTCTTTCTGGGGAAGGCGGAAGCAAGACGCAGGGGGGTGCTGCCGGCTTCGTACCCCTGGAACGCACGCCAATGCCAACAGACACGGCGTTCCTGCCTGGTGTGACGCACGCAGCCGCCACCATCCAGGAGGGGCCGAGTACACACCTGGGAACCCCGTCATCCCACGGCGCCCCCGTCCCCCGGCCCTTCACGACGCCTCCCCCAGGCCGCCGCGCCTGGAAAGACTCCCGCCCGCTCGGCGAGAGCACCGGCTCCTCAGGAAGACGGGCTCCGGCCCAGACCTGGGCACCGTGAGGGCAGACCCGCCCGCAGGCATGGCGTCGCCGCCCTGCTCCCGCCACCCCAGGCCTCTGTGGCCCGCCCCGCCGTGGCCGTACCTTCTTCCCCTCGGTGTCCCCGCAGTAGAACTGCTCGGCTTTGGTCTTGCCCATCACCACGGGGTCGGCGGCCTCGAGGTGGGAGGGGTTGGCCACCAGCGACAGGGTGATGTTGCGGTCCGTCACTCGGTTGATCCGCCGGTGGTACATGCCCAGGTGGTACTTCACATCCCCAGAGCCCTGCGCGCACACGGAGGCTGGCTCGCCCTCCCCGACTCCTCCGCCCAGGGCGGCACGTGGGGCTGCCGGGCCGGACCAGGAAACCCCCTCTCCCTGAAGCTGGGCCTGGCCAGTCCCCAGGCAGCGCCACGCCCGTTCCCGGGGACCGGTGCCTCACCTCGTCGGCGGCCTCCAGCTTCGAGTCGAACTGACAGAAAATCTGCTCCAGCTCCTTCCTGATGACATTGGCCAGCACGTTCAGCCGCCCCCTAGACACACGGGGTCAGAGGTCAGCAGGCCCTTCCTCCTGAGGGACGGGCAGCACCCGGGCTTGCTGCCCGAAGTGCTGAGGCCAGAGCCGGGGGGGGGAGGCCAGCCTCATTCACCCGCCTGAGGCCATGACGAGGGGAGGAAGGGGCCGTCGTGGCTGCTGGCACCACAGCCCTCCCTCAGGTCAGCAGCCTCTGCGGTGACCCCAAGGGCTCTGGCTTTAACTTTTTAAAAAAATATATTTTATTGATTTTTTTACAGAGAGGAGGAGAGAGGGATAGAGAGTTAGAAACATTGATGAGAGAGAGACATCGATCAGCTGCCTCTTGCACACCCCCTACTGGGGATATGTCCGTAACCAAGGTACATGCCCTTGACCGGAATCGAACCCGGGACCTTTCAGTCTACAGACCGACGCTCTATCCATCGAGCTAAAACGCTTTTGACTCTGGCTTTAACTTTTATAAGACGCAGCACCAGGCCAACAAGCCTGCTTGAGCCACCTGTGGCTTTGGGCATGATGGTAACTGCAGGGCGAGGGGTGCCGGGTGGGAGAGGGGCGCTGAGATAGATGAGGGGTGCTGGGAGGTGGGGGGGCGCCGGGCGGGTGGTGTGTGTATGTGTGTGTGTGTGTGTGCGCGCGCGCGCGCATGCTGGGGTGGGAGAGGGGCCCCGGACGGTAGCGGACCTGTGCGGCATCCCCATGATCACTTGGTCCACGCCGTTCTCACTGGACTTGTCGATGATGGTCTTGAGGGCTGGGATGAGCACCTCGCAGCCTTCCAGGCCGAAGCGCTTTTCGGACGACCACTTCCGCTGCAGGAACTCCTCGAACCTGGATGGAGCCGGGGCCTGAGCACAGTCCAGGGCTGGCCGCTCCCCGGGCCTGGCCGCTCCCCAGGGCCTGCGCGCAGTCCAGGGCTGGCCGCTCCCCGGGCCTGGCCGCTCCCCAGGGCCTGCGCACAGTCCAGGGCTGGCCGCACCCCGGGCCTGGCCGCTCCCCAGGGCCTGCGCGCAGTCCAGGGCTGGCCGCTCCCCGGGCTGGCCTCCCACCTGTGCAGCCCTGCCCAAGCGCCTCCCCACCTCGTGGACCGCACGAGCCGGGCCAGCAGAGTGCGCTTCTCCTCGTTGGTGAACTGCATGACCCCTGGCGTCTCGAACTTCCTCCGGATCCACTGGCACTGCTCCAGGTCGTTGATGAACATGAACTCCACCCCGATGTGCTGGCAGTAGGCGTTCTGTTCCACACAGCCAGGCGCACATGGGTCAACAGTCAGCCAGACGCCTCCCTCCCCGATGCACCCAGCTGTGTGCGTGCGTGTCTGTATGCCCGCACGGAAGGTACCCACAGCTCCACAGGGAGGGAGGAAAAAAACTGGAGGACAAGCAAGCAGACTGTGCCAACGACGGGCATGGCTGGGCAGCCTGTAATCTCACACATCTGAAACAATCTCCCACTGGACTGGAACCCACAAAACTTCCTTTTTTAGGTTGATAATAAAATTAAAAACCATAGGTTTTTATCTACAAAATAGCAAAAGGAATTTCCTTCCTTTACATTTAAAGAAATACATGTCCCTGGCTGGTGTGGCTCAGTGGTTGAACATCCGCCCATGAATCAGGAGGTCAGAGTTCAATTCCTGTTTGGGAAACATGCCCAGGTTGTGGGCTTGATCCCCAGTGTGGGGTGTACAGGAGATAGCCAGTCAATGGTTCTCTCTCATCATTGTTTCTCTCTCTCTCTCTCTCAAATCAATAAAAGGTATATTTTTAAAAAAAAACAGGACTGCCCTAACCGGTTTGGCTCAGTAGATAGAGTGTCAGCCTGCGGACTGAAAGGTCCCAGGTTCAATTCCGGTCAAGGGCATGTACCTTGGCTGTGGGCACATCCCCAGTAGGAGGTGTGCAAGAGGCAGCTAATTGATGTTTCTCTCTCATCGATGTTTCTACCTCTCTATCCATCTCCCTTCCTCTCTGTAAGGAATCAATAAAATATACTTAAAAATAAGTAAATAATAAACAAGACTAAGAAAACCCCCACTAGTGGGGGGCCTCCTGCGAGCCAGGCTTTGGGGAGCACGCCTACCTCCAGCCGGCGGATGATCTCCCGCAGCGGCAGCGCCGACTCCTGCCCCCCGATGAAGGTGGTGGTCGGCAGCTGAAAGACCTTGTCCAGGTCAGACTCGTCCAGGCCATAGAACCCTGAGGGTGAGGAGAGACGCAGGGCCCACGGGGCAGTTCATGGAAAGGGGAAGGGAGGCCCCAGGGGAGAAAAGAGAAAAACCATGAAAACCTCTGACATATAGAAAATAAGTAACATTTTATAGCTAGAAACACAGTTTAGCAATAAACAGAAGCTGAGAATATTACTGAGTGTCACAGGCAAATGAGAATGAAATTAATATATGCATATTAGTCCGGTGCACCAATTATTCATAATTTAGAGAAAAATGTATTCCAAGGTCCCAAAGACACCAGCCATTGTGGTTGGAAAGGCACTGGGCGAGTCTAGGAGAGTGAGCGAATGAAGAGAGCTGAAGAGGGACTCGGAGCAGGACAGGAACTGGTACAGAAGAGGCCACACGTGCACGGGGACACTCGTGTGTGGGGGGGACAGGAAGCTGGAGACAGGAGTGAGGGGCAGTCACCAAGAAGCAGGGGTCTGGGAGAGCAGCGGGCAGCACAGCGGGGCCTCACAGCCATCCCTGCTCCTAGGGCCAGCCTGCACGCTCTGGACCCGCTCCGCCAGCACTGACCTTCCGCAGCCTACGCTGGCTCACAGCGACACCCTCTGACCGGCACTGACTGCCCGTGCCCAGCTCCAGCTGGGACCTCAGGCTGAGGGCACCGTGTGCGAGTCTCCCGGGCTGGGACTTGGAGAACTGCCTGGGGACACTGCAGAGGGCCCCTACCCCCTGGAGAGGCGGCGCCCAGCTGGTGGCAGCCGTCACGTATCCCCGAGGTGGGATTTGGGCTCCGGCCCAGCATGGCTCACAGTCGCGGTGGCTGGGACTCTCCCGTGTCCCTCAAGCTGCAGCCTGTGGACCTAACCAAGGCCTATGTCTCTCAAGCCCGACTGTTGGGTCCTTTCTGCAGGGTGTGGGGAGGTGGCAGGGGAAACTCCAGCTGCTCCCAGCCGCTGCTCTGTCAGGGATGAGGCAGCAACCGCACGCCTGTGACCGCAGAGGCCAGCTCGGTGCTGGCAGGAAGACTGGCCCGTCCTCCGCACCCTGTGCACGCCGTGGGCGCCGGCTCTCAGCCTCGCAGCACGAGCCCGGCCTCCCCGTGCCTGCGGCTCTGCATGTCCACCCCTGATCTGGCCGTTCTCTGAACCTCAAAACCGCTGGCCCCACTCCTGCCTTCCTGGGTCTGCTTGAGGGAAGGCGGAGAGTCCTCCCCACTCCCTCCTGCTCCTGATGCAACCAAGCGCCAGACACCAGGCCTCAGCGGCTCTGAAAGGGGGAAGATGGCTGACCAGCCGGCGTCCTGGCTTCCTCCTGGGCTCCTGTCGACGGGAGCCAAGAACCTGCAGCCCGGAGCTCCCTCGGGTGCAGCAAACCAGCCCCACAGGAGCTGCGCTGGTGGGACAGGAAGGCAGCCCTCCGACAGGAGACAGCCTGCCTCCCTCCCTCCCTGGCCTGGCACAGTGCCTCCACCTGCACATCCAAGGTACCAGAGAAGGGCCGTCTTTGCCCCTGGGGTAGGAGGGAGTGCAGGGCCTCCATGTCCCCACCCAGGATGCCCCCGTGTGGTGCCCGGGAGACGGCGGCCACAGACATCAAGGATGAGTCTGTCCCGACCCCTAAGGTTCTGGTTGTAACAAGTCTCTCCAACGAGAACAGGAACCTCTCAGGCTGAACAAGGTCATCCAGAGGCCGAAGGGGCGCAGATGTGGGCTTACCCACTGGACTCACAAGGAGCCCCGCACACGGCTCTCGCAGCCACCAGAACACGACCAAGGCAACGGGAAGAGATCGGGACTCGGCAAAAAACCAAAAGTCTAAAAATGGAAGGTGCAAAGAAGGACCACATGGGAAATGCTGAGATGGTGAAACAGTAACTCAAATTAAAACTCAGAGGATGGGCCCTGGCCGGGTGGTCCAGTTGGTTGGAGCGTCGTCCAGTCACCAAAAGGTTTCAGGTTCAATTCTCAGTCAGGGCACACACCGAGGCTGCAAGTTCTTCCCAGGTCAGGGCGCCTGCAGGAAGCAACTGATCGATGTTCCTCTCTACCTCTCCTTCCCTCTCTCTCTAGAAAAGCAATAAAAAGCAAAACACATCCTAAGGTGAGTGTTAAAACAACAGAGAATGGGCTCAGGCAGAACCAGGGACAGGATCAGGGGCGTGAAGACAGAGGAGAGAAAGGAAGGGGTCCGAAGAGGAGACTGACAGAAGGGAATGGAGAAACCTGGGGCGTGTAACATGCCCCGGAAGCTCCCAGGACTGGTGATTCCCAGAGTGAGGACAAGAGGGCAGCTTGGTAACAACGCCGGGAATTTCCCAAAGACTTAAACCTGCAGGTTCAAGACGCCGAGTGAACTCACAGGATGAACCAGAGAAGCCCACGGCATACCATCGCCACCAACACGTGAGGAGTCCGTTCTCCTTGAACTGGCCCGTGGGCCGAGCCCGCTCTGACCAAGCTGACGGCAGGTTTGCCGAGAACAAGAGCAAGCTGGCTCTGATGTTACCGGGAGGTCGAAGGGGCAGGGCACAGGCTGGAGAACAGAGCAGCCCCCCTCCCCGCCCTCTCACCCCCTGAGGTTTGAGAAAGTGCAGAAGCAGCTCCAAGAAGGGACGATTTTTCCGCTAGAGGTGCTGGAACCCTCACACATCCAAGGCAAACCTCCCCGCAGTAAACAAACCAAACCCTTTCCCAACTTCACATCTCCTGCAGAGATTAACAACACGGACCATGGATTCAAACGTGAAATGCAAAACTATCGAACCTTTGGACAAACATAGGAGAACACCTCTGGGATGAGCCTAAGGAAGGCGTGCTCAGGCGGGACAGGGTGTGGCCCAGCAAAGGGGAACCTGACACACCAGGCTCTCCAGAACGTGAGCCTTCTGCCCTGCAAGGACCCAGAGTCAGAGGAACAGCCCAAGGCCTGTCACCAGTGAGCGGCAGAAAGCACTGTGGGCCCCTCGTGGCCAGCAATGCTCCCCGAGGGTCAGAGGAGCCGAGGGTCAGAGGACAGCCCGGGTGACACTCCATCAGGCTGACCGAGAAATGCCAATTCCAAATGTCTCAGGTGGCGATTCCATTAGCAGACCCTCTGGAAATGACGAAGTTACAGAAACAGAACGGATAGCGGTTGCCAGGGTTACACACAGGGGTGGGCAGCAGCAAGGACCCTGTGGGACAGACGCAGTGGCAGCACGGCTGGACGTCCTGTGGCCGTCAGGGTGACCACAGGGAGCTTCTGGGAGGCACATGTTGTTTCTAACCATTCCCTAGGAACCTCTAAACCGTGCCTTTACCCCAACCAGAGTCTCACAGACATAAGGAGCCAACGGAGGAAAAGAACGGAGACATCTGGTACGAAGGAAGACTGGCCACGGGAGTGGCCACAGGAGGGGGGCTCTAGCACCTCTCTGGGTCCTGGCGGGTGGTCTTCGAGAGCCCACGGTCATCAGGGCTCCTCCCCTCCACGCTGTCAACGCACCCCACGGTGCCAGGAGGCAGGCTGAGAGCCTGCCGAGCCCAGCCAAGCCTGGCGCGAGGAGGGAGCATGGCACATGCAGAAGGCAGCATGGCCTGGGCCTGGTGACCCTGAGCCTGAGGGCGCAGTGCAGAGGGGCGACGGACGCGATGACGGGATGGGAATGACGGAGAGCAGCTCTGCCTGTTGGTCACATTTCCAAACCAGTGGCCACCTCTGAGCAGGACAGTGTGGGCTTCCCCAAGGGCATGCTGGGAGAAGATCCTGCCCAGGCGCCCAGCTCCAGGAAGAAGGCGTGTTTCCATACCTCCCACTGTGAGCACTCGAAGCCGCTCCTGGAAACCGGCCAGGCCTGAGGCAGGGCGGGGAGCGCATGGGAAAAAGAGGCGAGAGTTAGTGCAGAAGGCCCCCCCCCCACCCAGGCAGCACGGGAAGCACAGACAGGGACAGACACAGACAGAGGAGGACAGGGGGGACAAGGGCGGGGCTCCTGTGGTCAGCAGCTGGCCTGAGTGAGCGGGAGACCACTGAGCGGCACCTGAGACCCGCCCCCTCCCACCAAAGTGGCCCTGCGTGGCTCTGGAAGGAACCACCCGATCTGGACATTTGGGGAGAAGTGAAGGAGAAGATGAGATTCTCACTCCTCAGACCTGGAGCTTCAGGCGGGCGACGAGACCTGAGCCCTCAAGATTCCGGCAGCTTCCAGAGTGGAAGGCGCCACCCTGTCCCCATGGCAATCAGCCATGTGCTCTGTGGCGCCCGTCCACCGGGGACAGCTCTCCGGTCTCAACCTCCACCAGCACCTGGACGCGGGGCCTGGGGCGGGGTCAGGAGGCCCAGTGACAGGATTCATAGGGTGGTGGCTCAGTGGTCAGAGCAGCCACTACCCTCAGCCACTCCCTGCCCTGGGAAAGCCGGTCGCTCTCAGAGCTGATAGGGGATGCGACAGCCCCACCACAGAGCTCAGAGCCAGGGCTAGCGAACATAGGGCCTGCGGAGGCTGGCGCTCCGCTCCTTCCGTTCTCAGGACACAGCCCTGCCACGGCCACCTGCACACGCACCATCTTCTCACGCTGGGGAAGGGGTGCCTCTATTTTCACTTGTGCAGGAGTCCCCATCTGTGGGTTAGCCATCTGTGGTCAACCACCCCCAAAATTATTAAACGGAAAATTCCAGAAACAAACAGTTCATGTTTGTAATTGCACGTGTTCTCAGTAGCATGATGGCATCTCAAGCCGCCCTGCTCTGTCGCCTGGGAAGGGAACCCCTCTTCTGTCCACAGTGAACACCCATCACTCAGCAGCCCGCGCGGTCCCCACAAGGCCATTCTCCCGACTCTGTGCCAGCACAGGGTCACATGGCTCAACTCGCACCTGCTCCTCACCATGCCCAGTCCACAAATCGCACTGTCACAGGGGTGTGTAGGAGAAACCAGGACACGGCTCACCACTGGGGCTTAGCAAGCAGCCTGCAAACGAGAGGGGACTTCTGCCCTTCTCAGCTTTTAAAAATAAACACCAACAAACGATACGAACCAGAGAGTGAGAGGAGAAACTGGTTGTCATGTACAAGGGCTCAGGGTCCCCGCACCAGCATACACGGGGGAGAATGACTTCTTGCCGAGTGCGGAAGGCCCTGCTTGGGAGGAGGGCTGGGCCTGAGGATGGTGGGTAGGCGAGGGCATCCAGGAGGGAGGACAGCCTGCGGGGACGTGGTCAGCCACCTGCCTGCTCACTCACAGCAGCCAGCAGGTGAGAGGAACTCCTCTCTACTGCTCTCAGACTGTGAAAGCTGATGAAAATTCAACTTTGTAAAAATCCTCACCTGAGGATCCTTTCCACTGATTTTGAGAGAGAGAATGGAAAAGAGAGAAAGAAATATCGATGTGAGAGAAACACATCAATTGGTTGCCTCTTGCCTGTGCCCCAACCAGGGCCTAGGCTGGGGAGGAGCCTGCAACCAAGGCAGATGCCCTTGACCGAAATTGAACCTGGGACCCTTTAGTCCACAGACCAACGCTCTATCCACTGAGCCACACCAGCTAGGGTGAGAAATCAGCTGTTTTAAGCCCCTTCTCCCAGCCTGCAAGGAAAAGTCTTAGGGGTGGGGTAACTCAGTTAAGCAGCTAAGATGTCACAATTTTGGATTTTTATTTAAACTGCATTTTTAACTGTTTAACTCAAGATCACTTCCCAAGACCAACCCTGCGCAGAGGCTGGTGTATCCCTTCTCGTGGAGAGAACTGCTTCCAGCTCTGCTCTGTGTGAGGACCCCAGGGCCCACCTCAGGAGGGGTGGGTGCAACGACCTGCACCTAGAACCTGCCCCCAAACATGCACCGCAGAGAAAGCCCCGTGCCCAGTGAGCGTCTGCTCAACGACAGAACCTGGCTCCTGCCTCACAGAGAAACGTCTAACCCTCACCACGTCGGCCTGAGAATGACGCCAGCCCCACCTTCACGGCACATGCTCTGTCCACGGTCTGTGCTGCCAGCCAAGGCCCGATATCCCTCCCGGGAGCCCAGGAGGTGCGACCGCCCAGCACCTCTCCACCCGCCCTCAGGGCCAGAGAACTGGGCCAGCATTTCCCAGCCTCCTCCACGCCGGTCAGGGAAGGTCAGGCACCAGGAGAAGTCACCATCGGTTTAAGAAATTCTGTGCGGACAGCGCTCCGCTTGCTGCCTTCACCACCACGTGCTTCTCCAGCGACTGCGCTCTGCAACATGTCGCCTGAGCCTCAGCTTTCAGAGGATGAGGAGCCCCGAGAGGTGTGGCAGCAACCGAGGACACCAGCTGCTGCCCCTCCCTCCCACCTTCCCCAGACCCACACTCCTGCAGCGACATTGCCCCGTCACCTGGGAGCCCAGGCCTGGCCCCATCACTCAGCTTCTGAACCTGCCTCCACCAGTCGCCGGCAGCCCAGACTGCAAACCACGCCGGTCATGGCCTCGGGAGCCAGGCCTGGCGGTCTGAGCTCAGCTAATCCTGAAACAAACTGACAGCTCATGGCACTCAGCAGCCAGGCCTGAGGGCGGGCGACACTGTCATCCTGACCTACACACACCAACGGTGCCAACTGGAGACGGACTTCCCCCAGGCTCACATTTATGTACTGGGTTTATGCTACTTCCTATTTTTGTAGCTAAAAAAGACGCATCAAATTCCTCTTACAAAGGGGCCTCCCCGACTGGGTGGTCCTGAGGGCGCCTGGCCAGCAGAGGCAGCATCTCTCCTCCAATAGCTGAGACTCTGTGGGGCCTGTGCCCCTGGTTTCCAGCCACCCTCCGCGTGAGATGCCGCCAGGGACCTTGCTCCCGAGCGGACGGAAAGCAAGGCCTATGGCCTGGAAGAGCCGGCTGCCTGTGCCGACGCGGCTGTGCCCAGGAGCTGGAGGGCCCAGGCCCGGCCTCTCAGTCCCAGGCTCCTCCTGTGCCTGGAGGCTATGGCTCCCTCCCACCTGCCCAGTGTCCAGAGGGACAGAGGAGTGTTCCAGGCCCCGGCAGCTCCAATGAGCTGGGAACCACTGAGGAGGTCTGTTTGGATGCAAGAAATGGGCGCCAGGGAAGCCCTGCTCTGCTGAAGGCTCTGCCGGGACACGCAGGCCCTCTCTTGGGAGCGCTCACCACGGAGGCGGCAGGCCTGGGAGCTGCAGGGCTTCGTGCTGAGGGGAGGAGAGGGGCTCCCTGTCCTGCAGACACCCAGAGAAGCCTACTCTGGAAGCACAGAGGTGTCACCCCCAAAAAGCAGCAGGACTCCACACGGGCCTCTACCTGCCCTGCCTGTCGCACGCTCAGGACGGTTCCCTCCTCCAGAGCCAGGCCAGAGCAGGAGGGCCCTGCGGCCTGCACCTGCCTGACCCGGCAACACCGCCACCCTCCTCAGGAGTGTTGGGTCCCCTAGCGGGAGCAGCAGGCAGTGTAATTGTCAGTCTCATTAGCATGCACAGTGTTCCGTGACACCACCATCTCAGAATTAGTCACACCGTAATTTCTGTAGCAGGTTAGCAGCACGGAGCCGGAGCGCAGATTAACTCGAGGAAGCAACTGCGGTGGGAGGCCAGCCACGCCCTGCGCGGCACCTGGGCGCCTTCCGAAGTTTCCTCAGTGTGATCACCGGCCTTAAGAATCGAGACCCCGGGGCAGAGCCTGTTTAGAGGCTCGCCCGCAGAGGCAGGCCCGCGTGCCCCGGGACAGCGTGAAGTGACAGGCGGCTGCATAGGCCTTGTCCCGCACGGCGGCCCGCACGGGGTCTGCCAGGCGCCAGAGAGCGTCTGAGCACCTCCGGAGGGGCCTGCACAGGCGGCCACCTTTCCCCTGCATCGCAAACCCTTTCTGCCCCCAATTTCACTTTCTAACTTGAGACTCAGACAACGGAGCTCATACCGTCTGTCTGAGAAGCTGGGGTGAACTCGACGTGCCCAGCTCTAAGGTTGTGTGACCGTAATGTTAAGTGATCAGAACGAAGGAAACTTAAGAGTCTTCCCTCCCGTCTGGGCGTCTGGCCTCCCGGGCCAGCACCGGGAGCTAAGCAGCAGCGCCGGCCGCTCTCAGGCCCTCACCAAGTTTGTCTGTGGATGAGATAATGTCAGCGGGCACGGAGGAGTCCAGATCGGCATCCAAAATTCCCAGGGGGTCCAGCTGTGCTACATGATGCCCTCGTATCTATGAAAGGGCCAGTGACGGGGAGGGAGGGACACACACAAAAGGACAGGAGAAAAAAAAGAGGGAAGGGGTAAAAAAAGTAAAATTACATTAAAATTAGCATTTACAGATCAATCCTCACCCACGTTTGAAGAAACAGTTACTGGAGCATCATCAAAATTTACACAACTAATTCCGAGAGGATCAAGTTTTGCAATGTGGTGACCCCTGACCTGGAAGTAATAACACAAGCAGTGGTTAAGCAGGACCCGGGCTGTGGGGTAAAAGTCACACGTGGTCAAACCTCCTGAGAGCTATGAACCCGACTAGTCCTAACAGGCTCGGGACAGCAGGCTGTGCACCGAGGCACATCTATGAAAGGTAAACTCCTGGGCAGGAGAAATGTGTGAGTCGTTAAGGACCGCTTCCTGGGGCCCTGCTTCCCTGGACAAATGGAGACCGGCTCTGGGGACATCACCCCAATGTGACTCCACCTCAGTGCTGACCAGCAAAAGGCTTCCGAGGAAGCAGGGATGCAGCACTGGGCAGGCGGTGCGAGCTGGGCCCAGGCTGTCAGTGCCTGCTGGAGGTCAGGCACCAAGTCAGACAGAGACGGCGACACGGGACAGTCCCCTCGAACCCAACTGCCTAAAGCAGGGCAGAAACTCTAAGTCTGTTCCCTGAAGCCATGGGCACGTCCCCCACATCCTCCACTGGCACTGACGGGGTGGAGGACAGCCCCCACGGGCAGCCCAGGCCAAGTGCACACCGCCTCAGGCAGGTCCCTGTAGCTTCCTCTCCTCAGAGAGAGCCCTGCTTGCCACCTTCCCCAGCACCCGTCCTGACACCGGGAGCAGAGTATGCCAATGCCCTGCCTGCAGGAGAGTCTGGGTCCCAGAGGTTGCCTGAGACTTCTGCTCCCCAGGATGGCTCCCAGAGCAGGTGTCCAGGACTGCAGGTGCCGAGCAGCTAACCTGGGAAAGGCCAGACACCAGGTCCCTTCCAGGGGCTGACTGTGCACCTGAGCGCCCACCTGCCTGTCTCTGCTTCCTAGGCACGCCCAGTCCCCCACCCTACAGGTGCACCTCCTCCTCTTGTGTGTGGGTGCTAGCAGCTGACACGGGACGGCACAGTGCTCCTGGTCACCGGCACTTCCTGCGCCCGGCCCTGTTTCCCTGCCCACAGATCTTTCTGCCAACCTATGGGAACAAGCGAGGAGCTGCGTCCAGGGCTGCACTAAAGATGGCAGAGGCTCTGCTCCGCGGGTGAAACTGTCCCGGCTCCTCTCCTCACCTTTTGCGTTTCTGCATCCCTGGACCCCAGGCCTGGGACAGGCTATGCTGGCAGGCGCACCTTACCTGGTAGGCCCTGATGAGAGACTGCACCGCCAAGTGGTCCTCCACCAGCTTGTCCACGTTGGTCTGGGTGCCCGCCAGGGGCTGTGCTCGGGCCACGGCAGACAGGGCGCCCATGCTCAGGGCCAGCGGGCTCTGGTAGGCAGTGCCTGGGGCCGCCCCAGCATTGGTGTTTCGGAAAAAAATGTCCCATGACTAAAGAGAGAAGGAACACACATGTCACTCCACTGGGGGCCTCGCCCTCACTTCCAGCCAAAGAAAGAACTGTTCTTGGCAGGCAGCCACATCCTGCCGGGCAATGACCTCCTGCTCTGAGCAGCAGCTCCCCTGACCCTCAGGATGCCCCACATCAATGAGGCAGATGCCCTCTGGCTGCCCTTCCTGCCTGTCTGTCCCCGACCTCCTGTCCTTCAACACAGCCTCCAGGGCTCAGGCCTCCCTTGTCACCTCACACACACACACACACCCCCGCCCACAACATACAGTGGCCCTTGTGCAAAGGGCAGCCTGGGGCTGGCCCTAGAGAAACCATGTCGTCTGTGCTTCAGGAGGACCCTTCAGGGGCTCAGAGCTCGGAGGCCTTAGTCTGAGCCCTGAGATCCTGCCAGGCACCTGGCACCGGGGCGCAGGGCTCAGTGTGGAGGGACAGACATCTGTGTGCACAGGTCTGCGGTAAAGACCACACTGTGCGGAGCCAGCAGCCAGCACACTCCTGCGTGCGGTAGAAACTAACTGGGGTTCCTCTCAGTTTCCACTTCGTCTGTGTTAATCAAACTCACTCATTATCTCTCTCATTATTTTTGGCTATTTTACATTTAAATGATTCAATTTGTAATTCACATAAATACTGTGGACTCTTAATAGTTTATTCATCTCATACAAAGATGTTGAGCCTTAAAATATTTCAGAGATCAGAGAAACCAACACTTAATTCCACTGCAAAAAAAACACTCGTATATTAACCACCAGGAAGTACCAGGTGTACCCGTTAATGGCAGATTTTGTAATAAAAAACACAATTTCAAGAGAAAGAACAAAATTGCTTTATTCAAAGTAATGTCCATTGATAGCTACACATTTCCCCATCTTTCAGTTAATTTGTGGACACCATCCCAATAGAACTTTTCTTGTTTTGAGGCAAACCATTCAGAGACCCAATTTTCCACTTGGTACGTTTTGAAGGGATACTCAGAAAGTGCCATCGATCGCAACAAGTGGTCATCTGAAGGAGCAAGGTCTGGTGAATATGGCGGGTGGGTTCATACTTCCCAGGCAAGTATGAATTGGTTCTGAAGTGTGTGATGGTGCCCTATCATGAAGCAAAATTACTTTACTGTGTCTTTTGGCCCATCTGGTCATTTTACGATCAAAGTGTGGTTCAAATTGATTATTTGTTGTCAGTAGCGATGAGTATTAACGGTTTCACCTTGTTTTAGAAGCTCATAATACACACTTTCCTGATCCCCCACTAAACGCAGAGAACTGATTCGGCCTTGCAGTCGATGTTGATGGTTGACCTGAATCAACTCATGATTTTGTGCATTTGGGATTCTCAAAATAAACCCACTTTTCATCACCAGTCACAATTCGGTGCAAAAAAACTTTCTTTCATGCCACTGAAGCAACATTTTACTGGTTACTTTTTGGTTTTCCATTTGTCTTTTGTTCAGTTGATGTGACACCCATTTTCCTTCCTTTAAAATCTATCCCATTGCCGAAACCGGTTTGGCTCAATGGATAGAGCGTCGGCTTGGGGACTGAAAGGTCCCGGGTTCGATTCCGGCCAAGGGCATGTACCTTGGTTGCGGGCACATCCCCAGTAAGGGGTGTGCAAGAGGCAGCTGATCGATGACTCTCTCTCATCGATGTTTCTAACCCTCTGTCTCTCTCCCTCCCTCTCTGTACAAAATCAATAAAATATATATTAAAAAAAAAAAATCTATCCCATTGCTTGCAAATGATCGAAAATTGTTTGCTGAGCAATGTTTAATCTTTCTGCAAGTTGTTTTTGAGTTTGACACCCATCTTCATCCAATAATGCTTGTAATTGTTGGTCTTCAAACTTTTTCGGTTGTCTTTCACATCGAAATCATCATTTTGAAAGCATTTAAACCAATCTTCACAAGTACCTTGAGATAGAGCATATTCACCATAAGCAATGCCTAATTGTGCTTTTTTCCCCACGGTGAATAATTTGTCGGTTTTGGATGCTGCATTGGTCAGGAAAGCAGGAAATCCGACTCTCCTTCATGGCCCAGCAGTGCCCAGCTGACCTTGAGGTCTGTGCCCATTTGTCTCCCCTGCCCCCGAACCCTGGACGCCGCAGGCACCAGGGGTGGGGGCTGTTTGCTGGGTGGAGGTGGCTCAGAGGATGCCCCCGCCCCAAGCCACTGGGTGGGTTCTTGGCTCTCAGAGACCCTGACAGGGGGTGTTGAGTGCTGAGCCCGGAAGGGGCTGCCGGTGGCTGCAGGTGGTCTCTCCTTGCCCTTCAGGCGGAAGCTAACCCCACGGTCAGCCCACTGCTCGACACGCCTCTGCTCTTTCCACTCTGACTTTCGCTGTTGGCACTTCGGTTCCTTGAGGAACTACCACTGACCCCTCTCGGCCCGGCCCACACGGTTTAAGGGCAGTAGACTGTCCCCCAGCTCCAGGAGTAGCCATGGGGTCAGCTTCCCACCATCCCAGCTCAGCCTCCCCGGGGGCGTGGTGACACATGAAGACAATGCTCTGCGTTTAGTGCTCAGCAGCACTTTTCCACAAAATAATGAACTCAAACTTCCTGCAAATGTTCTTGTTTTGGCACAAAATTCGACATTTTTAAGTGTAAAAATATCTAATGGTAACACCTTCAGAAAATTTGACATAGGAAATTTTGAAGCTTGCTGCCAATACAACAAAATAGCATACATATCAAATTGCATATCTATCAACGTAATGTATAACTCCATGAATTGAAAAAAAATCTGACTAACTGGTACACCTGGTAAACACTGTCTTTCTTCCCCGTCAGACATGTCCAGTTTCTAAGGTTCTTCATCAGTAAACGGATTAGATGCCTGGGAGAACCTGGAGAGAAAGGCCAGCAGGCCTGTGCTTGCCGCCAGTGAGGGGTCCGCAGGCAGCCCCCCAGGGCCGTGCAGGCCTAGGTCCATGTCCCGTCCCAAGACACTGCCTGCACCACCAATCCCACCAGAAACCCACTGTGGCAAGCAAGGCCTGGTGCTGGACCTCCAGGGGAGTTTTCAGAACATCCAAGTTTATTCCTCTTGCATTCAGTAACTTGTAAAATCAAACTACTGGGTGATACTGCACAACATGGGGAGTATACAGAACACCGAGCTTTTACCTTAAAAATTGTGAATTAATACATTAATAGCAATTGTTAAATGCTTTAACAAACCTCAGTGTTTGAGCTCTCCCTATGTTCCCTGGTCTGGTGTGTCAGCTGATGGGCAAGACCTGCAGGGTCCTCACCTGGCACCAGCCACACGCCAGCTGTAAGCACCTGCACACGCCCTGCCTTGGCCCTCTTGGGCAGGAGTCGGAATCCAGTACCATTCTCCCAACCTGCCATCAAGCTGTCGCTCCCCCTCCCTGAGCCGGCTCCACTGCGGGCGAGAGGCCCTGCGTCCACCAGAGATAGAACCAACTTGCTCCTGTGGGAAAGGAGAGGCCGCCTAGTGTCCACTGCCCAGGCAGGGAGAGCCCAGGCCTGGCCCTGCTGGGTGCATTACAAGGACACACAAAACTGACGTCCTGGACACCCCAAACATTTCCAACTTCCGGAAGCTTGGGCAGCCCAGCCCTGGGAGGGGCAGGCGCCACCATAGGTCTCCCCTCTGGAACCTTCTGACTGGCAGAGAACAGTGGCACAGGGGCTGCAGTGCTGGCCCACAGAGGAGCGCACCAGGATGCACTTCCACTTCCCCATCACTCACCCCCAGAGTACACACCAGTGTCTTACTAGCTTAGCCCTCAGCCCAGGGACAACCTCAACAGCAAAGCCTTCTCCCACCACGACCTGACATTGGATTTTGTCTGCATGCACTTGCAAAACCTGTGCACTGCAACTTAAAATGGGCAAAAATCAAGGCCAGGGCTGGGCCTGGGTCCCACATGGCAGGGCACTGCTCCTCCGTCAGTGCGGGAGGCAGACTTAGCTACTCCTCGGCTGCGCGGAGTCTAGTCCCCAGGCTCTGCGGTCAAAGCCCCCACCTGTGTCTGCCGGTTCCACAGCTCCCTCAGGAAGCCGTCCCCTCCAGGCCTGGACGGACCAACAGCCAGATGGAGACACTCAGTTCTCTGCCCACCGGGTAGGAGAGGGAAGGCACTGCCCCCGAAAGCCAGAGGTTCCACCCACAGGGCCATAGGCTGAAGCGACGTGCTCGCACCAGACGCGTCTTCCAGGTACGGGCAGAGGTGAGCACGGTCAGAGGTGGTTCTCCACAAGCCCGAGGCGGCGAGCAGAGGCCCGGGCAGGCGTCTGCAATGTGCTGATGGGCTTCTCCCTCTCGGGAGCAGCCGGACAGTGTCCTCAGAGCAGGTGCCAGGAAGGACAGCGCATGAGGGAGCTGGCTGTGAGGAGCCGAGGAGGGGTGGTGGCAGGCCCCTGGGAGGCCAGGTGGCAGCGCTGGCAGATGGAAGGAGGCGAGGCTGGGACCAGGGCCAGGCAGGGCGGTGCGTGGCAGGAGGGAGACAGCCCGTCCGCAGAGGGGTGGGCCTGGAGACAGCCCGTCCTTGGAGGCGTGGGCCTGGACCACCTCCCATGAGTGGGTTTAAGGCCTCAGCTTGTTGCCAAAATGACTTAAACCAAAACATAAGTTTTCAAGTGTAAACAAGGGTAACATTCTAGCCAAAACCGGTTTGGCTCAATGGATAGAGCGTTGGCTTGGGGACTGAAGGGTCCCGTGTTCGATTCCAGTCAAGGGTATGTACCTTGATTGCGGGCACATCCCCAGTAGGGGTGTGCAAGAGACAGCCGATCGATGACTCTCATCGATGTTTCTGACTATCTCTTTCCCTTCCTCTCTGTACAAAATCAATAAAAAAAATATATTAAAAAACAAACAAACAAAACAAACCAAGGGTAACATTCTAGCTGAAACGAAACCAGAATTATTTCCTTTTATGGAACTACGGCATTTAAGTGACGTCCCGGAAGACCATGCCCCGCCACAGCGTCCCTTTTCCTCGGCTCTGTCCTGCGGAAGCTGGTCCAATGCACAGGACGTGCCCAACACACCCGCCGAGCTAATCCACAGGCTGACTCCCTCACCAGGCGCAAACTGACGGGGGGGCGGGCGCAGTCGGTCAGGTGGGGTGTCAGGGGATGCCAGGGGGTGTCTGGTGCAGTGCTATGAAAGGTGTCAGCTATGAACCTGGGACACCCAGTGTTCAAGGCTCTACCCCACCTCAGAGAGGTGCTGACACTCAATAGGAACGTAGGCTGAGTGGTTCAGTGAGGCAAACAGACTTTGTCTCAGCACCAAGCTCCCGGCGGTGAGCAACACCAGAGCTGGGTCCCTGGGGCTTCAGGGCTGGAGAGTGGCAACCGCGCCACCTGGTGTCCCTCATGTGTCTCAAAGGCCCAAGGCGGCCAGCACGAGTGCGCGGCTCACAGGAAGCCACGTGCAGGACGGAGCCACCACAGACCAGCCTGCCCAGGCACGGGGCCTAGTCCCTGCTCTCTCCCTGCAGACCGGGCAAAGCCAGGAAAGTCACTGGGCTCTCTTCACCTAGGACAGTGAGAGCACAGACACACGGACAGCCTCTACCTGCACAGCCCCGAGGGACAAGAAGGTGATTAGAACATGACCCTGGGTGACGAATGCTTATTTTAGCCGCCAAAGCCCCGGACTCTGGGTTCTGGACTGCCTGAGCCATTTCTTCCTGTCCAATGCCACACCTGCTGTCTTTACCTTAGATGGGAACCCACTCACCGCCCACACACACACCCCAATCACCTATGGACACCCTGGAATGGATCGAACCCCAGGTTCAAAGGCCATGGCACAGTGATAAACTAATGGCTGATCCGTTTCAGGCTCGAGCATGACACAGGCAACCCTGGTAAGTTCTGGTACTGAGAGAGCTTTTTAATTTCTTAGTTAATCCTCACCCAAGCATATTTTCTCATTGATTTTTAGAGCGAGTGGAAGGAAGGGGAGAGAGAAACATGTGAGAGAGACACATCGGATTGACTGTCTCCTGCATGTGCCCCAACCAGGGCCAGGGGTCATGCCACAACCCGAGTATGAGCACTTGACTGGAACTGGACCCGGGACCCTTCAGTCCTTGGGCCAGCGCTCCAAAAATGGAGCCAAAACGGCCAGGGCACTAACAGAGCTTTCCAACGGCTACTGACAAGCACCGCAGGGCAACAAGCCACCGCAGAGCACAGGTGCAGGGCCTTCTTGAAACAAGGGTTTGGCCCATTAGCCCAACGGACAGGCAGGGACTCCTCAGCAAGGCCCGCCACCTGGACTCGCTGGCCGGCAGGAGCCCGTCTCCCCGCCACCCTGCAGGGGCTCTCCCGGTCACAACATGCAGCAAACTCGGCACGTGTCCCAGCACCAGGTGCCGTTCACACGGCTCTGCCGTGCAAGAAGAGGCTGCTCCGGGCGGCCTCTAAACCCTCCTCCTGCGTCCTGTCCTCTCTGCGCCTATGCCAGGCCTGCTCCCTTCCGAAAACATGGGTGACAGGCTGTCTGTACAGGACGCCCACATGTGGGAGTGATGGTCCACGGCCCACCCCCACAGAACCTGCTTTGGAGCTAAACGGGCAGAAGAACAGCGCGCAGGACAGTGCTGGCCTTCAGGCCGCCCACCGCACGGCCTGGCTCAGTGACCCCCAGTGGAGGACGGCAGGGCTGCACCCAAGCCTATCCAAACACCCCCACTCTGCTGGGAGGCACTGGGGTCGCAGTCTGCCTGACTTGCTACCATGAAAACAGTTACAATCGAGGGTGCTGCTGGAATACTCCTCAGTTAAGGAAGCCAAGTGGCTTTGTGCTCGATCAGAGCAATGCCACTGTTTTTAAGCCAGGTAGCTCATGAAAGAACATCTCCAAACAGTTTCACTCTCTCCTCTCCAGGTGTGCAAGCAAAGCATCCACCAACTCCAAGGTCAGCAAGAAAAGCTGCCTCAGCTCTGCCCTATCGGACCTGCTGAGAGTGCAAGACACACCCTGGCTTCTGCCCGAGACAAAGGTGGAGCACTCTCAGAGGAAGGACTATGTGGCCGCTCAGCACCACCGCACCCCTTCGTCACGGGTGAGACTCATGTGCATTCGACGCTGATCTAAGAGGCCTGGGTGGCTCCACCAGGGGTCATACTCGGGAAAGGGAAGGCAGGGAGAGGCCTGAGCACAAGGTGACAGCCTGGCTGATTTACTCAAGAGACAAGCTCACAACAACTGTCCTTAGAGACCTGGCTTCAACCCCCAGCAGGACATCTCCTCAGCACTTCCGTCTAGCCCACCTGTCCAGCCTGGGCAAGGCCCAGAGCGCCTCCCGGGAACCAGGCCCCACTGGCTCCGGTGACCCTGGAAACAGGAAGGCCCGCTAAATGCTGTGAGGTTCTAAGAGGCAGCACTTCTAGTGAGACAGAGCTGGTGGCTCCCGCAGCCACAGGAATAATCCAGTCGTGAATGTCACTAACACAGAGCTTACTCTTGGGGCCCAAGATTCACAAGGAAGTAAAAGAGCAATCAGGAGTGATGACATCACACCCTGGCCAGCTGCTCAGTGGTTAGAGCGTTGGCCCATGGACTGAAAGTTTTTGGGTTTAATTCTGGTCAAGGCATGTCTCTCGGTTGCAGACTTGACCCCCAGCACCTGTTGGGGCACATAAAGGAGGCAACCAATGAGGTGTCTCTCTTACATCAGTGTTTCTCTGTTTCTCACCCTCCCTTCCACTTTCTCTAAAATCAATGGAAAGCCCTAGCCAGTATGACTTAGTGGATAGAGCATCGGCCTGCAAATTGGAGGCTGCTGGGTTAAATTCCGGTCAGGGCACATGCCTGAGTTGCAGGCTTGATCCCCAGTAGGGGGCGTGCAGGAGGCAGCTAATCAATGATTCTCATTGTTTATGTTCCTCCCCCTCCCTCCCTCCCTCTCTCTCTTTCTCTCTCTCTCTCTCTCTCTCTCTCTCTCTCTCCCCCCCCTCCCCCCCTTCTTCTCTGAAATAAATAAAAATATATTTTTTAAAAATCACTGGAAAATATCCTCGGGTGAGGATTGACAGCAACAACAACAAAGAGTGATGACGCCAGCCTGCACAGAACACATCCCCACACCTGCCCCCAGGCCTGGGTGCCTGGGAACCCGCCCTCCAGCTCCTGCACTGGCCACTGCCTGACCTGAAAACCATGAAATGGTCTTTAAAACACACAAACTCCCACTGGTCCAATGCTGTTAGGAAATTCTGCTCTGCTCGGTGTGGCTCAGTGGTTGAGCGTCGACCTATGAACAAGGCAGTCAGTTGAATTGTGGTCAGGGCACAGGCCTGAGCCGTGGGCTCAATCCCCAGTGTGGAGTGTGCAAGAGGTGGCGATGGATGATTCTCATCATTGATGTTTCTAACTCTCCCTCCCTCTCCCTTCCTCTCTGAAATCAATTACACACGTATATAAAATAAAGGGAAGAAAAAAAGCAATTCTGCCACTAAGTGTGCCCCATACCAGCAAATGGTGAGGAGAAGCACTAAGGAGAACGTGCCCTACAGGTCGCACAGGGGTCCGAAGGAAGCCTTCCCGAGTTTACTTCCCGGGACAGGAGGAAACCATGAGCATAAGGATCTGAACGGCACAGAAATCACAGGAGACGATTCAAGGAGTTCTCGGGACCCGGGCGAGGCGCGTCCTGCGGCATCCTTCCGCCGCTCCTCTTCTGGCTGGCTTCTCTTCCGCAGCGTCCCTGCGAGGCTCCGGAAGTGGTGCAAGCGCATCCTGTGGAGGTCCTTGCAGTGAGTGTGGTCTGTTCCAGAGAGCGAGGCACGCGGTGAGGGAGCCGCCCCTCCCGAGAAGGTGGTTCCTGTCGGGCCGCTGGGGCTCCTGGCTGCTGCCTGCCTTCCTGCCCGAGGGCTCCTCGGGACACTTACCTGGGTGGCCAGCCACCGTCGGCTCCGAACACACAAGACCCGCTCCTGCGAGCCTTACCTTGTGAACGCTCCTGGGGTTCTCCAGCCAGGCATAGTACATCTCCTCCACGTAGTTGGAGCTAGTCCCGCTCAGGAAGGGCTCTGCAGCCACGGGGGCAGTGTAGCACCGGATCTGCCCAAACGTCCGAGCGGCTGCTGGTCTGTTCTGGGAAAATGTCTTAACAGTCTGTGAGGCCGTCAAGGGCCGCAACTTAGTGGCACAAGTCCTTAAGTGAAACATCCTTGGTGTGAAGTTTCTCACCACTGCCTGCACAAAAGGAAAACCGGAAAGAGCATGTTAGCAGGTGAAGCTCCTGGGGGATACGCGCAGGCTCTGGCACAGGAGAGAGTTCAAACACTCAGGTGGAGGGCACCTGCTCCAGTCCAGAGAGCACAACAGAGCATGAGAGCGACCCACCCCAGCCTCAGGGCCAGGCCTTCACTCACAAGCTGCCGTTTCACTTCTGGGATACAACCTATCACATAACAAACATGTAACGTCTCTAAACTGTAAGTGTGCACACTGCAGAAAACATTCTAGAAAAGACAAGGATGGACTGATTGCTGGTTAGATTTGGATGAACTCAAAATGAGAAACATATTTTCTCCTTTACCCAGAAAACTACGGAGTACCTACTGGACTCACTATATTCTGGAGACTATAGAGAAATTAGGGGAAATAATTCTCCAATAATTTATATTTGAGCAGAAGAAAAAGTATTAACATCACAGAGATAGCACTGGGTGCTTGAGAGGCCCAGACAACGCCAACCCACAGGACTCACTCTGTCCCAGGCGCATCCCACACGAGGGGTCGGGAGGAAGGTAGGCAGAGAGTGGAAAAATGGAACCTCTGATGCGGGACAGAAACCGCGGCCCAGAGATTCGGGAGGAAAGCACTTAAACAAATGCCTACCGCCCATGCACCCTGGTCAGCACCTGACATGTCAGAGCTGTTAGCAACCCCACACACTCCCCGTCCATCTTACAGCTCCACTTTCTGAGTTCAGCTCAAGTTCCCCCCCCAAGGTCCCTGGGTCATGAAGAACAGAGCCAGGCTCCAAGCTCATGCTTTCTGACTGCCAAGTCTCCGTCCCGCCCGACCCTTCCAGAAGAACAGGAGGAACCTGGGATTGCAGGAGGGAGAAAGTGGGTAAGTTATTTGCTTCTGATCTGAACGGACCTTGCCCTTGAAGGTCACAATACCACTACATCTGATTTGTAACTCCTCAAAAGCAGCCACTTTATAAAAGCTGACTGCCCAACACGAGCAAGTGTAAACTACTCCCAGAGGGCCCCGAACCACTTCCAAAAACCCAGCATGTCTCTTGGGGGACCCTGTCAGGAAGGGACCAGGCGACTTCCGGTCAGCAAAAGGGGCCCCAGGAAGGCAGGGGCCCCTGGGGTGACCACAGCGCTCTGCCTGGGCATATGGCTCAAGCAAGGCACTCGGGAATTTGCCCCAAAGCAAGCACCTGGCTATGGTCAGAATCACCCCACCTCCACACCCACCTGAAGGAAACCCAAGCTCCGAGACATGTTAAGAATGACCAGAAACCAATGTTCATAAACGGTCCTCTATTCCAGCGGGCGCCCTCACCCCCTTTCAGACCTCACGGACCACCAGTTGGTGACAGCGACTTTTTACTGTTCATAAGGACCCTCCCTCTTGGCCTAAATACGATCAGATACACACAGGGACACAAATGGGCAGCTGGGAGCTCCTGCTCAGAGGGGACCAGTCAGCAAAGGAGAAAGCTGCTTTAAAAACAAACTAAAATGAGACAATAGCCTGCTCCTTAAAAACTGAAGACGAATAAGCAACCTATTTTGGATATTGCTACAGAATACAATCTTCTTTTTCTAATCTTAAAAGTCAAAAGTTTCAAGTTACTTCAGTGGTACTCCCTGCACTCCACTACCTCCCACAAACAAGTTTAAGGTGGACAAAGGGCCACTGAGGACCCAGAGGGCAACAGCAGATAGACCATGGCTGCTCTCAGTGTTGGGCTTTTTGGTGTTTTGTTTTTTAACTCAGATCCAGAGGAAACGTGTGTTCCCTCCACCGCCATCCTTATCTAGGCAGCGGGACCCTAGAGTGGGTGTTTCTCCCGAACATGGCGGCATCTCCTCCGCCATCACCCAGCTGCTGCAATGACGACCCCATGGGCAAATGTGTCTTCCCAACACAGTTCTTCGTGACCTGAAGGTACGCCACCTTCCAGCTCTCTAAGTCCCGAGTCTGACTGGAGCACCATGCGACCAGCACAGCACCCAGGAGAGCAGACTGCCTTTCAGAGCCCTTCTCCCCACAACCTGCAGAACCATGAGCAGACACGCAGCTTACACGCCGGGTTCGATCCATCAGCCCATCCCTCCAATCTCAGAGTTAAGAACAGCTCATCACGTGGGGAGACACTCACTCAAACAGGCTGGTGAAAGCTCTAGCACGCCAACTCAGCCGGGAGGACACTTCTACTCGACAAGGTGCCAAGAGGGCTCCGTGGGGAAAAGCACTCTTTCAGCAGGTGATGTGGGACAACGGAACATTCCCAGGCAAGAAGGAAGTGGCACCCCCCAAAAAAATTAACTAAAAATGGAGCTAAGACCAGATGTCAGAGCTGGAACTGTAAGACTCTTAGAAGTTTTACAAGTTCCAAGTTAAAATGGAGTGATTCTTTGTGGCTTTCAATGGTATCTTAGGAAACAAAAAATACAGCAAAACAAACAAACAAAAAAAGGATACCATCAAGAGAAGACACAGAATAAGTGAAAATATCTGCAAATTATATAATTAAGGAACTGGATACAGAACATCTGAAGACTCCTATAACTCAATATAAAAATAAACCGATCAAAATAGACAAAAGATATGAACATTTCCCCAAAAAAAGATACATGAACAAGCCAATGAGCACAATAAAAGGTTCTCAGCGTCATTAGGAAAAGACAAATCAAAACAAGATACATGCATGTCACTCTAACTAGATACAATTAAAAACAAAACGGCAGGGTAGGGAGGACGCGGACAAATTGGGAGCTCAGACACCGCTGGTAGGAATGTAAACTGGTGCAGCCACTGAGGAAAAGTCTGGCAGTTCCTCAAAGTTAAACACAGAATTACCATAGACTCAGCAACTCCATTCTGAGGAACCTGACTAGAGAAGCTAAAACACATGTCCAGCCCTAGCTGCTTGGGTCAATGGACCGAGCTTCGGCCTGACAATTGAAGGTTCCTGGCAACCACTGTTCGAAGACCTGGAACTGCACAACTTAAATGGGTGAACTGTACGGCACGGAAGTTATACCTCAACAAGGCTGTTTATGTCCAGGAAAACTATAAGCAAATCTATTAATGCCAATAAAGTACACAAGATGACACTACTTATAACCCACCATTTATGATACAAGTATAAGCCTATAGTTTGACAACAATAAGGTTTAAAAAGTAAAAACCAAAGCAAAAATTTGCTAATTTGAAGCCCTGCCCACAGGAAAGGGTCTGCTGGAATAAAGTGCCCTTATCTGTGCCTGTACTTCCCCAGTCAGGCAGCACAACCCTAGGTCACCCCGCCTCCCAACATGGGGACATAGGCTGACTCCTGATGCCTATCGGCATCACGCGGGCCAGGCAGAGGGCGATTAAAGAGGCAGCGTCACCAGAACAGCTGTGGACAGCGTCTCGGGAAGTGAGTCTTGGAGGGCAAAGGGCACGCGTCATTAGATGACTGTCACCCTGTGTTACCTGACAACCATTCTAAAAGAATGACTCATTTTGAAAATACTTTTTCTTTACTTTTCAGCTTCAGGCCCTTAAGATTCTTTATTATTTTTTAAATATATTTTATTGATTTTTTACAGAGAGGAAGAGAGAAGGAGAGAAAATTAGAAACATTAATGAGAGAATCATCGATCAGCTGCGCCCTGTACCTCCCTACTGGGGATGTGCCCGCAACCAAGGTCCATGCCCTTGACCGGAATCGAACCTGGGACCTTTCAGTCCCTAGACCGACGCTCTATCCACTGAGCCAAACCGGTTTCAGCCCCTTAAGGTTCTTGTAATGGGGCAGAGGACGACGCTGTCGCTCCAATCTGCCATGATGTTTAGCGATGTGGAGAACCTGTGCACAGAGCACAGGATTGATTCTCCCTGGCGCTCATTGAGCTGAAAAGCTCAAACTCAATGTCTTTCCCCTGTGGCTTCATTAAACACAAACGAGAGACAGGAAAGGAGTTTAAACCATGGAGGCATTTTGCCTTCATGAAACGGACACGAGGATCCAGCAGGGGAAGGGCAAACAGGTGACTCTAACTTGTTGACTAACCTTAAACGCCTGTGATGATGATGCAAACGTGAAAGCTCACTCTAAAGTGGTCTCTGTGATTAAAAAATTACATCTTATCAAGGAAAAAGACCAACCAAAGGTCTCTCTTAAAAAACTGAAGTTCTCAAGGAAAACCTAAATGCAAGTTAATTTGGAGCGGGCAACTGGCCAGACCTCTGGGAGGGACTTTCGTGCCCACAGGTAGAACTCCAAACAGCTGGGGGCCTCCAGGTTGACTGCCCGGTTCAGACTGATCTCGCTGGGAGGGGTCCTGACGCAGTGCTCCTGAGTGCAGACTGACAGGCACGTCCAAAGATGTTGATTGGAGTACAAATTATTAAATCTTTATGGAAAGCAAGGCCATTTACCAATGTTTATTAAAACCTGTAAAAGCATAAACAGGACTTCCGTTCCCATTAACTGCAGCTAACGACATGAAATGCTACAGTGAAAACAGAGAGAGGAGCAGACTGGGAAGGGGCTTTGGGGCCAAAGAAAGAACAGCACTGAATTCTTGCCGTGCTCTTTGCTCCATACATCCCAGACCACATGCCGGAGAAGCTGTCCCCAGGAACGCCAGCCAATGTGGACAGAAACCACACCAGAGCTGCTTCCTCTGGGCAGAAGACAAGAGGGCAGACTAACAGGACGGACATTTTCAGACAGTGATGGCCTTACTTACTCACAGAAAACTCTGTGGTCCAGCTCCATCCCACCTGTAAGTCAGCAGAGATCAGGGGCTTCCATGCCCAGCAATGTCAGTAAGGCCAGGAGAGAAGCCTGGATTTCACTCCGCCAAACAAAAAAACAGGGCCACACCCGCCCGCCCCAGACAGAGCGAAACCAACAGGGAACGTACACCCACACAGCAGATACCAATACCAGGCTGGGAGGGGTAAATAGGCATCACCATCCC